TCAACAAAATAGGGGGAGGGGGTTTGGGAATGTTTGGCAGGTGTCGACAAGGGGGAGGGGGTTTGGGAATGTTTGACAGTTGTTGACAAGAGGGAGGGATAGGGGTTTAGATTAGATGACGTCAACAATCTTGTTTTCTATGTTAAATTAAAATTGTCTTGTTATTACATTATTTTTATTTAGAAATTAATGAGTGTAAATAGACGTATAATTTTTAGGTGTCATGTGAAGTCAAGATAAATGACATTGTTGAAGTAGGCATACGATATTCTGAGAATTAGGGGAAAGTAAAGTGAGTAACAATAGTAACATCGCTGCTTGGACGGATTTGCCAAATGTGTCACATCTCTTTGGCATCACAAGTCACGTTGAAATAGCAAGTTCAACAGCATCGACAATGACCTGTTGAGCGTAAGAAATTACCACCTGCTACTCAACAAAAAAAGGATTCGACCAATGCAAGTAGCTGCCAGGAAACAGAGAGAGCTTATGACAATTATTGCTCACATTGACAATGGTTCTATTTTAGTGATGAATGGTTAGATGAAGATGATGTTGATTTGTCTCGTAGGCTCCCAATATCAGTTCCGCAAAGATGAAAATGATAAATCAACTATTATAGAATAGGCCCATCAGGGGCGTCATTTCAGGGTTTTTACAAGGGGGAAGGGAGGCAAGCCAAATCTTGGTCGGCTTGTTAAGTTGTTTATTACTGGAGGCGCCGTAGGCAAGTTAAATCAAACTTGCAAATGGGGGGGGGGGGGCAAATTCCCACCTGCCCTACCCAAATGATGTCCCTGATGACCATTGTTACGATAGAGCAACACCATTGAAAGATGATGGCAGATAGAAAATATACTGTAATTGTCAGGGGGGTGGGGGTGGGGCTGGGGTTCACAAATTGCGTAACAATTGTTGACGTAATTTATGGACGACCCCTGTGCATGTTTTTTCAAATTTTAAGCCCGACCCCCCCCCTTTTTTTTTCCATTTCTCGATATTACCTTTTGTAGGGGATCTCTACGGGAATCTTTGTTTTTAGGGGTTGTGTACCTTAATCTGTGTTCATAATATGTGATGATAATCTGTGTTCATAATATGTGATGATAATCTGTGTTCATAATATGTGATGATAATCTGTGTTCATAACATATGATGATAATCTGTGTTCATAACATGTGATGATAATCTGTGTTCATAATATGTGATGATAATCTGTGTTCATAATATGTGATGATAATCTGTGTTCATAATATGTGATGATAATCTGTGTTCATAATATGTGATGATAATCTGTGTTCATAATATGTGATGATAATCTGTGTTCACAATATGTGATGATAATCTGTGTTCATAATATGTGATGATAATCTGTGTTCATAACATGTGATGATAATCTGTGTTCACAATATGTGATCATAATCTGTGTTCATAATATGTGATGATAATCTGTAATCACAATATGTGATGATAATCTGTGTTCATAATATGTGATGATAATCTGTGTTTATAATATGTGATGATAATCTGTGTTCATAATATGTGATGATAATCTGTGTTCATAATATGTGATGATAATCTGTGTTCATAACATGTGATGATAATCTGTGTTCATAATATGTGATGATAATCTGTGTTCATAATATGTGATGATAATCTGTGTTCATAATATGTGATGATAATCTGTGTTCATAATATGTGATGATAATCTGTGTTCATAAAATGTGATGATAATCTGTGTTCATAATATGTAATGATAATCTGTGTTCATAATATGTGATGATAATCTGTGTTCATAATATGTGATGATAATCTGTGTTCACAATATGTGATGATAATCTGTGTTCATAACATGTGATGATAATCTGTGTTCATAATCTGTGATGATAATCTGTGTTCATAATATGTGATGATAATCTGTGTTCATAATATGTGATGATAATCTATGTTCATAATATGTGATGATAATCTGTGTTCATAATATGTGATGATAATCTGTGTTCATAATATGTGAAAATAATCTGTGTTCATAATATGTGATGATAATCTGTGTTCATAATATGTGATAATTATCTGTGTTCATAATCTGTGATGATAATCTGTGTTCATAATATGTGAAAATAATCTGTGTTCATAATATGTGATGATAATCTGTGTTCATAATATGTGATGATAATCTGTGTTCATAATCTGTGAAAATAATCTGTGTTCATAACATGTGATGATAATCTGTGTTCACAATATGTGATAATAATCTGTGTTCATAATATGTGATAATAATCTGTGTTCATAATATGTGATGATAATCTGTGTTCATAATATGTGATGATAATCTGTGTTCACAATATGTGATGATAATCTGTGTTCATATTATGTGATGATAATCTGTGTTCATAATATGTGATGATAATCTGTGTTCATAACATGTGATGATAATCTGTGTTCATAATATAGGATGATAATCTGTGTTCACAATATGTGATAATAATCTGTGTTCACAATATGTGATGATAATCTGTGTTCATAATATGTGATGATAATCTGTGTTCATAATATGTGATGATAATCTGTGTTCACAATATGTGATGATAATCTGTGTTCATAATATGTGATGATAATCTGTGTTCATAATATGTGATGATAATCTGTGTTCATAATATGTGATGATAATCTGTGTTCACAATATGTGATGATAATCTGTGTTCATAATCTGTGATGATAATCTATGTTCATAATATGTGATGATAATCTGTGTTCATAATATGTGATGATAATCTGTGTTCATAATATGTGATGATAATCTGTGTTCATAAAATGTGATGATAATCTGTGATGATATTTGATAATCTGTGTTGGTAATCTGTGTGGGTAATCTGTATTTATAATCTATGTTGAATACCTGTGTTGATAATCTATGTTGATAATCTGTGTTGATAAGCTATGTTAATAATCTGTGTTGATAATATGTGTTGATAATCTATGTTGATAATATGTGTTCATAATCTGTGTTCATAATCTGTGTAGCACATTCACTATCTGAAATATATTATGTCTACATTCAAAATTAGGCTAAATACATAAAGATAATAATTTATTTGTTGTTGCCATTTCGGTTGTTGATTAAAGTTATCTGAAAGAGCTTACATGTTGTTAAACTGTTCTATTGAAAAGAAGTTCTCTAAAAGAGCTGACTTGTTGAACTGTTCCATTAAGTAGAAGTTCTCTAAAAGAGCTGACATGTTGGTGAACTGTTCCATTGAGTAGACGTTCTCTAAAAGAGCTGACATGTTGGTGAACTGTTCCATTAAGTAGAAGTTCTCTAAAAGAGCTGACATGTTGGTGAACTGTTCCATTAAGTAGAAGTTCTCTAAAAGAGCTAACATGTTGGTGAACTGTTCCATTAAGTAGAAGTTCTCTAAAAGAGCCATTCAGTAGAAGTTCTCTAAAAGAGCTGACATGTTGGTGAACTGTTCCATTAAGTAGAAGTTCTCTAAAACAGCTGACATGTTGTTGAACTGTTCCTTTAAGTAGAAGTTTCTAAAAGACCTGACATGTTGGTGAACTGTTCCATTAAGTAGAAGTTCTCTAAAAGAGCCATTCAGTAGAAGTTCTCTAAAAGTGCTGACATGTTGGTGAACTGTTCCATTAAGTAGAAGTTCTCTAAAAGAGCTGACATGTTCTTGAACTGTTCCATTGAGTAGAACACTATTATTAACACACTTTATTTTGTATCTTACATTTCAAGAAAGTGATCACTTTAAACTATTTGGGTAGTATCACATTCGAATGCAGTCAAGGTTACATTTTTGACAAGCATTACATTTTTTTTTAAAAATGAATCAAGTTAGAACGTTTAAAATGCTTGTACAAACAGCCAGTAATGCATAGAACAAATTAAATTAATTTCTTTCCACGGTTGAACCTCTAACAGGAAACTAAGATGAACTGATCTAAAAGTGAACCAAATCACAATTTTATCAAATACACGAATTAATTAGTGAAAATTAAATAATAATAAAACATCATAACTTAAGTATACATTGTTATGTTTAGTGAATTATTAATTGTGAGCAGAATTTGTATACCTCAATGTTCTCAAATTCACGGCCCGCAAATGCCCGCAAGATGATATTTTGCGGCCTGATACCTGACAGCAAAGTTTAGTGTTTATGCGGCCTGTGTATTGAACCCATACTCATATCCTCCACGACAGTTTTAGTCGAATCTCACCGACTAGTCTAATTCTGATTTTTATTATGTTTGTATAGGTTTGGACATTGATTATAATGGTAAAAAACATTTTAAAATCGGACTAAAAGTTTTATTTTATAAAACGAACATGGTCATAGTGCGGTTTTGAGAAAACACGCTTCAAATATTGTATACACATATATTAAAAGTAATAAAAGTTTAAAAAGTCAGTTAGTGGGTAATGCACAACCATAATTGTGTAAATTGTTTCAATCTGACCCAGTATCAAAAAATGCCTATTAAAATTACCGCTAGTGTGTACGAGTGGCGAGTGAGGGAAATTCCCAGCCTGTCAGCTGGTTACTTTCACATGAACACCTGATATAGTTGTAAGGAAAAGATAAAATAAATGTACTTAACGAACATAAGCAGATACCTGAACAAACAAATAAGTTCATTAAATAAATATGTGGCATATACTGAAAATTTGCTAGTCACGGCTGTGCTAGGGGTGAAGACTAAAAAAAACCCTCAATATATAGAACAAAGTGCCCCTCCTCCCCCCCCCCCCAAAACTACAAACAAATAAGTTCATTAAATAAATATGTGGCCAATACTGAAAATTTGCGAGTCCCGGCTGTGCTAGGGGTGAAGACTAAAAAAAACCCCCCATATATAGAACAAAGTGCCCCCCCCCCCCCCCCCCCCCAAAACCACCTTTTTTCTATCTCTCATTCAGCCATGTTTGGAGTAATGAAAGGTCGAGTTTAATTATTGAACAAATCAGACCAGAAGACAAGCACCAAAGAATCAGTTCAGTTATTATTTTTATTTCTCAAATTGTTTACACAAATATTACTTTTTTTTTTTACATATTATCATACAGTGTCAATTATTTGACATATATAGAACCCCATACGTCAGATTTAATTGTAAAGAAAAAATACTTCCTTCGAATGCATTATAACTCATCTTTGATTAACACTGTTTCCTTTTAAAATACAGAAGTACTGCCGCTATCTCAAAGTCAAGATGACCACTGTTTCGGGGGGAGGGGGGGTTAAGGCGGGCCTAGTAAACAATAGTAAAAGATATAATAATTCTTTTGATCAACAATTTTTAATACCTATATGTTCACATGCATGACATAAAACCACTCTAAACGTATCATTTTAAATATATTTCTATAGATTTTTTATAAGTTATCCTATTACGCTAAGTTGGCTGCCAATATTTTCTGTATAAAAATTTAAAAATTTAAAAGTTAGAAGTTGTGGTCTTCTCAAACTTTGGAATTTATTATTGTGAGGAATATTTCCCCCCCTTGCAAGTATGTTGTCATGAATCTAATTTAATTAGTGTTGGCTTGCATATTTGTTTTAAAGACTAAGCTGTCTCAATAGATATGATGCAGTTCTGACCAGATTTTTTCATTAAACCAATGTTTTATCATTTTTATTCAAAAGCATAGTGCACATCGTTGCATTAGTAAAGTGAGATCATGCTGCAGTGGGCTGTATCGGGGGCAGCACAGAATGTCTTTCAGAACCTGGCCTTTGCACATGTGTCTTAAATTCAGATCGACCGGCGGAAGGTGGACGTGGGGAGAGATCTTCCATCAAAAAGATAGGATTGAGTGTTTCCGTTGGAAGGAAACGTGAGTAATTTAAGTCTGCATCTTCATTTTGGCCGTGGTGCAGTTCTGTGGCCGAGTCGAGGTCAGACAAGTTGGAACTGCTCTCATCATCAACAGATGAGTCAGGCGACATGGGTGGGCCTTGCTCAGACAAATCTTTTCCTTCTTGGTTTTGATAGGTGGGAGCAGAGAAGGCTCTTGATTGGACCGGTTGTCCTAAACCATCTTGTTTATCTGTGGCCTGTGGGGCTGTTCTGGGGTACCTGAGTTGTGTAGGGATGATAAGAAATTAATGATTAGCTCAAAAGATATATGGAGGGGCATTACAATGTTACATTCCTTTAAAATAAATAATGTTTGTCTCCCTTGTTGGTGCTGATGGGAAGGCACCATGTAAGTTGACTCTGTACTTTGGTGCTGATGGGAAGGCACCATGTAAGTTGACTCTGTACTTTGGTGCTGATGGGAAGGCACCATGTAAGTTGACTCTGTACTTTGGTGCTGATGGGAAGGCACTGTACCAATAGATGCTCATAACAATGTTGTTTGTACTTGGGGTCATTAAACAATTTTAAAGAGGAGTGAAAATAACACATACTGGACATGAAAACAGACATGACAAATATCTGGACATGAACACAGATATGACATGTACCTGGACATGAGTTGATCATAAAGTGGAGGAACATATCCAGTGATGACATCTTTTGCAGCACTTTGGCGTCTTTTAATAGATTCCTCCTCCTGAAAGATTGACCACATTGATGTAAACTACAACGTATACCCATTAAAACATAAGGAGCCTATGGGAAGATGGCACCAATGATGATCTCATAAAGAAACTGCAAAGTTGAGCACAGTACAGGTCAAGGTGTCATTTAGTAGTGGCCGCACATTAAAGGCATTCAGCTGCTTAACTATTCCTTAACTATTCCTTAATTATTCCTTAACTATTCCTTAACTATTCCTTAACTAGTCCTTAACTAGTCCTTAACTAGTCCTTAACTATTCCTTAACTATTCCTTAACTATTCCTTAACTATTCCTTAACTATTCCTTAACTATTGCTTGCGTATCCCGACAATCAGTTTATTACAGTTGGAACAGCCAAGGAATGTCTTGATCAAAACTTAAGATTTACAATGAAAAAAAGGTAAACTGATGTAGTTGGAATTAAAAGTTACTTTAAAAACATGGTTGTTTTGTTGAAATTGTGATTTTCTTTTTAAAATGCCTAGACAACTTGCATTGAGAATAATAAACATTTATTTGTAAAAATACCTTATAAGAAGATTAAAGAACAATTGTGTTTTAAAATTTAAATACATATTTTAATTTATATGCTTCTATGTGAATCTTGGCCAAGCTTTGTAATTATACCCTTCATAATCCATATTGAAATTTGTTATGTTTAAAAGTAATAATATCCACTTCTTTCCAAGCCAGTCCAGAAGTTTCCAGAAAGTTTGACGCTTTAAAAGGCTAGATATTCGGCATTTCTCAACCAATTTTAATGGGACAACTTTTAAATTTTAACTTCATTATATATCTGACTGTTTTTTAATAAGGACCCCTATTCAAGGCATATCTAAAATGGCACCTTATGGAATCCCCACTAGGTTCCCCATTTTAAATTAAATGAATTTTTTTATAGTTATGATACTATTGTGGAATTTTTCTTATTCTTAAAATGATTACATAGAAGAGTCATTTTTTCACAAGTTTCGGGGGGGTTAAATAATTCTAGAATTGTACAGAAAGTTCTATATTGTTCCAAGGGGATATATAATGAGATATAAAAGCTAAAAACTTATGGAAATATTAGTTAAGTTCTGAAGATTTCTATACCTTCAGATAAAATTTACCCACTGGGCAAAGGGACCTTTACTCTCAAATGTAACTTTGGTGCTGATGTTCCAATGGTTGCTTCTCTAAGCAAAAGTCCAAGACATATTCCACACAGTTATATTAGTTTATGATTCCTCTCTTTTTTTGTGTGTCTTATTTCAGCTGATTCATTTTAAATATTAATAATGCCTGATTTAAGAATCTGCTAACCTTTTTAAATGTTGAAATACAGATGGGGACGTTGTCCTGGGTGTTGAAATACAGATGGGGACATTGTCCTGGCTCTGCAGCTCTTTTAGTCATTGTTTTCTTTACTTAACCAATGTCCCACATTCATTTTTGCTTACTCAGCTCTCAATTAGTGTAAGTCAAACTCACCACTATGCCCCGAACTAAAGCAGAACCAACGTCATTCATTGCTGACCGAACTTGTGCCTGGCTTTCAGAATTACTGGGCTTTGACCAGGTTCTTCCCCGTATGTTAGTAGGGGTAATCTCCCTTGTTTCGTTTAAGGCTTGCTGTTCCCTTTTCACTTCCCCGGTGATGCCTAGGTAGTCCATAACAATCTTCCTCAGCTGGACATAAGCTGCAGCAAGGTCATCTGTTAAGAAAAAACAAACACAGGCCTTTATGAGTTTATGAACTACATAACCCTGTCAAGACAGGTGATAGACAAGTCCTACATAACCCTGTCAAGACAGGTGATAGACAAGTCCTAGACAGGCCTTTATGAGTTTATGAACTACATAACCCTGTCAAGACAGGTGATAGACAAGTCCTAGACAAGTGCAGAGATGCATGATAAGTTCTGAGTTAACCCCGACTTAACTACGGCTTAACTCCGACACTATCATATAATCATGTCTTCAATGCATGTGATTTAACTAAATTTTGAAATTTTTATTACCAGTGTAGGCAAATAATACTATTACATCTCCATATACAAGTTAGGTCCCAATATGGGTTGAAATCAAAGAAATCTACTTATCCTAAGAATGGCTACCTTTGATAGGTTAGGGGAAATCTACTTATCCTAAGAATGCCTAATGTGTGTTCAAAGCTGGATTCACCCCCTGACTAAATGCACCATTGTTCACCATTTTTCATCATTGTGTCACCATTGTTTCACCATTATTCACTGTTGTTCACAGGCAATGTCAGAATATTTACTAAATCAGCTATATAATCATTATATTTTTGTGTTTTTGTTTTTGTTAGGTGTTAATAATGGACAATATCTGTTACTTACTAATATAAGGCAGTGTTTTAATCACTTGTTAGCTCCTTCAATTTGTTTCGTAACAATTATATTGTGATGATTAAACAAAATTGTCACATAGAAGATAATATGTGCGCTGGATGATACTGATAGATGTATCTATATAGTGAGACATGCTGCAATGCGCTTATGTCTCAAAAAGACAAAGAAGAAGACTAACACAGTATACAACTAACGGGTATTTTACTTTGTAACACTGTAGTAACCATCCTGCTATGCGCCTGCCTTACATAGACACCACGTGGGGCGACCATATAATTAATTATCATTAATGGTTTAACAGGTTGGGCCTAATATGCTAATGAATCATTATTGTTGTCCACCTTTATCATCCAACATGATTACTTCTCATTAGAAAAAAGATGTATAATGTTATTTGTGTATGGCTGTCATATTTTGAATAACATACTTTAGAGTTATTCCCCTTGATTAAATAATCGCCACATATTGAATAACCTGTAAAATACAGAGTTATCCCCTATGTAATTGAATGTCTGTACTATTTATATCTTTTCAGAGATTGTCCTTTTTCTTTGGCTTTTTCATTTGCTTGTTCTATTTCTGGTGACCATGCTATAAGAGCTACTAATAAGGCTAAAAATCTCAAGATCTGACTTCTTTGAATTATAAACTAAATTTAAAACTGTAGTGACCTTCACAACTCACCACTGCCACTGGGCTACAACGATAAAGAAAAAAGTGGTTTACTTTGATTTTTTTTAAATACATACCAGTGCAGATCATCATATCAAAGAAACCCGGGTGCTCTTGATTCTGCTTGACATACACATCTACTCTTTTCAAGGACTTGTTGATCTGATCTTCTGTGTAGAAACCCCTTTTATGAAGTCTGCGTTCATGGATTTCAGGATTGAGGGGTAACACCAGGACATAGCGAGGCTCAAAATAAGTTTTTTTCAATGTCAGCACACCCTTTAAATAACATTAGGGCCAATAATAAATGTTAAGTAAAATTTGTCGGGTATTGTAATATAATAAGACCAATAAAACACAAAATAAACATATAACATATTTTACGGACTATAAGAATCAATTTTTTCTGGGAAAAATTGCCTCCAAAATTCAGGTACGTCTTATACTTCAAATTAATATAAAAATGGTAAAAATTTAATTTTTTTTAAAAATTGCTTAAAAATTAAGGTGCGTCTTATACTCCTTAGCGTCTTATGTCCGTAAAATACGGTATTATATTCTTAGGTTGATCATAAATGAATAAAAGAAATGTAATAACCCAACTGCTAACAACGTAAACAATAATCTCAATGTCAAGACTCTTACATTTATCATATAAAAGCCAATACTCTGACACTGATGTAAAGGGATGTATTAATTATGGCAGGTGTTGGGCATTGAGCTTTGTTCAGTGAAATATGATCAAGAAATAAATCAGACTGTGGGCTGAAAATGTGGGTTTTCAATTAATTAAAAATGTGGGTGCCTCTGTGAATTTTCAAAGGCCAAAGATTTGGAAAAAAATGGGGTTCAAGTTGGTATTTCTTATATACTGTGCCTCAATATAAGCAACTTACCTCTAGCTCCATATGGACAACAGAGGCCAGACCTTCTCTGGCTACATTTTCTATTGACTCCATCTGAAGTCCATACCAGTTACCATTATATTGGTGGGTCTGAACAAACTGACCCTTTAAGTTACAAAAAAAATCTTTAATTCTCATGTCATACTCACATAAAGAGAAGAAAAATCAATTAAATGAGTCAAACCAATTCAAATTAGTTAATGAGTTAGAAATGGGTAGAGCCCCAGGCTCAGTGGATGGGGCAAGATTTTTGGTTCCCCCCACACCCCAAAAAAAAAAGTCTGCAGTTGGCCAAAAATACTGCCCCTCTATATATATATATATTATAATCTATAATAATATAGAACAAAAAGTTTCACAGGCGTGGACCTCCCCCTCCGCGCCCTCTTCTCATGCAAGTGAAATTAACAGGACCCTAGCCAAGCACTTACTAATAACAAACTCAATCAATGGGACCATCGTAAAATATTTAATAATAACAACAAAATTAATGGGGCCATAGTAAGGCAATAAACAACATAAAAAAAATCAATGGGACCTAAATGAAGCACTAAAAACAACAACAAAATCAGTGGGACCATAGTAAAGCACTTAATGATAACTAAATCAATGGGACCATAGAAAAGCATTAAATATCCATGGAAAATTTTTAAAGTTTACATAAAAAGCAGATTTAAAAAAAAGAATAAATCTGACACAGCAGCCCAGCTATAGAACCGCATTCCTGCTATGGAACCGCATGAACCACTTAGGCCTACATATATTTTTGAAAATTTTAATAGAGTGCTGGAGATGGGTATTGATACAATAATCTGTGGAAAGAAATTGTTTAAAATCAAGGCCATGCACATACCATTTTTATGTCCATTTCAAACTTTTCAAGGGAAACAAAATAATAGTCCTTTCCCGATATCTCATCAGGCCTTGGCCTTCTTGTTGTATGAGAAATTCTATAGATATATATAAAAATATGTAAAAACTTATAAATAATTCTTATATTGATATTTGTTTTCTGAAAATACTGACCAAATCAAGGATTTATTTTTTTTAATATTCAATTGTTACAATTTAAAAATTAATCACAATTTAAATTTTCAAGGGTATCTTGGTGTTGTAGTTTTCAGTATACCCAAATGAAACATGGAGCTGTCACTAGGCCCAAATGAAACATGGAGCTATCAGTATACCCAAATGAAACATGGAATTGTCATTATACCCAAATGAAACATGGAGTTGTCAGTATATCCTAATGAAACAGAACTATCAGTATACCCAAATGAAACAGGGAACTGTCACTATACCCACATGAAATATAGAATTGTCAGTATACCCAAGTGAAACAGGGTACTGTCAGTATACCCAAATGATACAGGGTACTGACAGTATACCCAAATGAAACATAGAACTGTCAGTATATCCACATGAAACATAGAACTGTCAGTATATCCAAATGAAACATAGAACTGTCAGTATACCCAAATGAAACATAGAACTGTCAGTATACCCAAATGAAACATAGAACTGTCAGTATACCCAAATGAAACACCCACAATAAATCCTCTGTCATGTGACTCACCCATATCCAAAGTACTCCCCAAATTCATCCACTAGTTTCATAGCCAAGTCTTTCTTGCCTGAGCCCTGTGGCCCCACTAAGACAAGCATAGGATAGGGTGTCTCAACATTTGGAAGTGTGCTGGAATGATTAACAAATTCAAGAAATTAACTTTTCTAATTATTTCAAACTTAGTCAGTTGGGACATTTTGTGTGATGCTTCTGAAAGTAACACAGGCAAAAGATACTATTAAATATTTTCGGTATTTAGTTTGACCTTATCCATTTGGGACACAGAATTATAACTACATTGCGTACAAATAATTTTTACAATTCTTTCTTTTCGTCCATTCAACTCTCATAAAACCAACAGCATTTAAACCTTCATCTGTTACTTACAGTCATCTTTAAATCATAATAAATAATTTGTATTATCCTTGAAATAATACTGCAGGTGTATGAGAATATCTAATATATATTTATGTAACTGGATTAGTTGGATGTTGTGAAAGAACAACTCTATAGCTTATGCCTTATGTTGGTTCAGCCAGCTGCATTGGAGAGTATGTATTCCGCATGGTGGAACTGATTAGCCAACAGATAAGTTTTAATGCCAGAGAATCTGTAATTGTGTAATTGGCAATGTTTTAATTTCAATTTATTACATATTGTGTACCACAAGAGAATGATTACATTTCTGGGCATGTGACCATGACATTAATTCCTTTTTATTTTTAAAGTTTTAATTACTTGTGGGCGTTTTTCCAGTCATAATGTGTGTGTTAACATGATGTGTGTGTTAAAATGATGTGAGTGTTAACATGATGTGAGTTTTAACATGATGTGAGTGTTAACATGATGTGAGTGTTAACATGATGTGAGTTTTAACATGATGCGAGTGTTAACATGATGTGAGTGTTAACATGATGCGAGTGTTAACATGATGTGAGAGTAAACATGATGTGAGTGTTAACATGATGTGAGTGTTAACATGATGTGAGAGTTAACATGATGTGAGTGTTAACATGAGGTGAGAGTTAACATGATGTGAGTGTTAACATTATGTGAGTGTTAACATGATGTGAGAGTTAACATGATGTGAGTGTTAACATGATGCGAGTGTTAACATGAGGTGAGAGTTAACATGATGTGAGTGTTAACATTATGTGAGTGTTAACATGATGTGAGAGTTAACATGATGTGAGTGTTAACATGATGTGAGTGTTAACATGATGTGAGTGTTAACATGATGTGAGTGTTAACATGATGTGAGAGTTAACATGATGTGAGAGTTAACATGATGTGATTGTTAACATGATGTGAGTGTTAACATGATGTGAGAGTTAACATGATGTGAGAGTTAACATGATGTGAGAGTTAACATGATGTGAGTGTTTTATAATGTGAGTGTTAACATGATGTGAGTGTTAACATGATGTGAGTGTTAACATGATGTGAGTGTTAACATGATGTGAGTGTTAACATGATGTGATTGTTAACATGATGTGAGTGTTAACATGATGTGAGAGTTAACATGATGTGAGAGTTAACATGATGTGAGAGTTTACATGATGTGAGAGTTAACATGATGCGAGTGTTAACATGATGCGAGTGTTAACATGATGCGAGTGTTAACATGATGCGAGTGTTAACATGATGCGAGTGTTAACATGATGCGAGTGTTAACATGATGCGAGTGTTAACATGATGCGAGTGTTAACATGATGTGAGTGTTAACATGATGTGAGTGTTAACATGATGTGAGTGTTAACATGATGTGATTGTTAACATGATGTGAGTGTTAACATGATGTGATTGTTAACATGATGTGAGAGTTAACATGATGTGATTGTTAACATGATGTGAGAGTTAACATGATGTGAGTGTTAACATGATGTGAGAGTAAACATGATGTGAGAGTTAACATGATGTGAGTGTTAACATGATGTGAGAGTTAACATGATGTGAATGTTAAAATGATGCGAGTGTTAACATGATGCGCGTGTTAACATGATGCGAGAGTTAACATGATGCGAGTGTTAACATGATGCGAGAGTTAACATGATGCAAGAGTTAACATGATGCGAGTGTTAACATGATGCGAGTGTTAACATGATGCGAGTGTTAACATGATGTGAGTGTTAACATGATGTGAGTTTTAACATGATGCGAGTGTTAACATGATGTGAGTGTTAACATGATGTGAGAGTAAACATGATGTGAGTGTTAACATGATGTGAGTGTTAACATGATGTGAGAGTTAACATGATGTGAGTGTTGACATGATGTGAGTGTTAACATGATGTGAGAGTTAACATGATGTGAGTGTTAACATGATTCGAGTGTTAACATGATGTGAGAGTTAACATGATGGGAGTGTTAACATGATGTGAGTGTTAACATGATGCGAGTGTTAACATGATGCGAGTGTTAACATGATGCGAGAGTTAACATGATGCAAGAGTTAACATGATGCGAGAGTTAACATGATGTGAGTGTTAACATGATGTGAGTGTTAACATTGATGTGAGAGTTAACATGATGTGAGTGTTAACATGATGTGAGAGTTAACATGATGTGAGAGTTAACATGATGTGAGAGTTAACATGATGTGAGTGTTAACATGATGCGAGTGTTAACATGATGCGAGTTTTAACATGATGCGAGTGTTAACATGATGCGAGTGTTAACATGATGCGAGTGTTAACATGATGCGAGTTTTAACATGATGCGAGTGTTAACATGATGTGAGAGTTAACATGATGTGAGTGTTAACATGATGTGAGAGTTAACATAAGGCAATGATTATATGTAGAATATCCAGGTTACTCTAATGATCCATATTTGAAGGGGAGGGTCTGGATGTCCAGATTTCAGATTAAATTTAGAGAACTGCGTCTTCAGGTCGCCTACAATAAATAGGTAACTAGGAAATTATAAATAAATTTACTTTCTGACATCACCAGTAAGGAAGCAGGAGCCACTTTTCTTAGGGTCATTTATTTAATGATGAAAAGATATGTGTGTGTGTGTGTTTTTATTGTTTTACAAATGTGCTTTTAAACAAATTATGATTTCCCCAGATGAAATAGTTCCCTAATCTTCCTACACCTGATTTTCATGAGAGTATTTCACGATCAATATGTGTTATAAAGATAAGCAAGTTTGTATAAATAATGGGGAGACAGATCAATGGGGATCGGTTGATTTGGAAAGGCCAATAATTATGAATAATTATCATAATAATGCAAATTTGCTTATTAATACAGCCCTTGCTGTGGGTATTGATATTGTTATTTTGGTGGACCATGCCATGGTGTAGCTTTGCACTGAGCACTTTACCTGTCCCAGACTCGAGAAGGTTGAAGGAAGGAGTAGACAACATGCATGATATGATCTCTGGCCGCCACTACATCCAAGGGCGGGTCAAACATATTAACAGCCGCTACCTGCGGAGACCACGTTTAAAGAATTATTGTGCATATTTGGCAAAGTAAGTTGTTCTTTGACCAAATACCGTAGACATGAGAAATAGTTTAATCTAATCCAACAATAAAATAACTGAAACCTTCTGAAGTAACTGAAATTATCTGGGAAGGAGCCGTATGATTATTTCTCTAGCAGCAAAATAAAATCTAAAATTATAATTTTTTTTTAATATTCATTTTTTTACTTTTAATAATTTGTTGAACTCTCCAAACTTTAAGTTAAAGTATATTGTATTTTTTCTTCTCTTTACTTCTCTCTAATTTCAATGAATGGTTCTTCAAATCTAAATAGATGAATATTTATTGTTTATTATTTTCAATCTGCCTTGATTAGTTATTAATGCTCTATATTCATATGTTAGTAAAGCTGATTTTATACATTTTTCTCTTTACCTTCTCATCTTCTTTAACAGGACGTCTGTCTAGTGTTGTCAAGCAACTAAGACGGTGAAGAACTGAGAGTCTGTAGTCTGGTAGTTCTTGAATGGGATTTCTTAACAGGTTCAACTCGCGTAAACCTTTTGCATGTTTCAGATAGTCAACATCCGCTACGTCAATCACCTGCTCAGAGAAAGTAAAAAAAAGTTGAAAATAGTTTTCATTTTTTATTTTAACCTTATAACTGTCAAAACGGCTGACAATTGACCGTTATACCCTTTTCTGTGGTGTCCCAGACTATTTATCAATTTTTTTCACCACCATATTGTCTGATTCCGGAATAGGGCTGATTTCAAAATTAGCACAGAATTTCTTTATTGGAATTATTTAAAATATATTAAAATGAAAGCAAAGATATCAGAGATATTCCACATGCAAATAATGACAGTATAGACTCTAGCAGTGTTGTCGAGATAAGAGTCAGATATTGACAGTTTTATCCCTAAGCTTAGTCGTATTGTTACCGACAAATTCGTTTGAGAGAGGCTGGAACTCGAACAGAAAAAGACACAGATTTGATCCCAAAGATTTACCCCTAGGATATTTATGTTCATATATTTTCTGGAGTATTAATTAATAAAAAATGGTTTTAAAAACTTCAAATGAAAAGTAGTTTTTGAAATCATTTTGTACCTTCCCTCCTTGTATTTTGTATGACAGAAATTTGAAGGTGTTGAATGAAACAATTCACCAATTTCACAATTTTCTACATAAGTAACTATAAATTATCATTTTCTGAAAGAATATTTCTTCTAGTACAGTGGTTCTTAACCTGGGCTTGATCGAACCCCAGGGGTTTGGTGAGTCAGTCTCAGGGGTTCGGCGGAGGTCCAAAAAAAATCAGAAAAAAAATCATAATTTATTTTTCCTATTGAGAAGGGTTCTGTGAATGTGCATATGAAACTGGTGGGGTTCGGTACCTCCAAAAAGGTTAAGAACCACTGTTCTAGTATATCAAAAATTTGATTTTATGACAGTTTGAACAATTTGTGGAGTATTTAGGGTGGGTTGAATTCAGAAGTTATGTAGTAAAATTTTACTCTCTGTAAATGTCAAGGTCAATATCAACATGCATAATATAAAAACAAATTCTTTTCATACCATAATAACCTTGTCCAATGTACTTTTACAAAATGTATACTTATAAGGGTCTCTGAATTCATTTAGTCTGGGATCTTTTTCATTTTTAACAAGCATATGAAATTGCTAAAAATGGCTTTCTGCGATAGAAATTCGTTCTTGACAGTTATAAGGTTAAATATTAGGTGATATATGTCTTTCTTTGGGGCCATCTATAAATGAACTTATGAACTTGGTAGGGTGGGGTGGGAGGGGGGCATGAAATTTCTGTTACAAGTTTGTGATAATTGGTGGGGTGGAGTGGGGGGGGGGGGGGGGGGGGGGGGGAGAGATTGTCTGCAACAGCATGATGTCATTTAATAATGGTCCCTTAGGCATTTAAAAAATATTTCATCTTTGAATGAGAGGACTATGACTAGAAGTAAACAGTGAATTTAAAAACTTGATGTGAATAGTTTAATAGTTTTTAAAATTGTTCAATAAATGTTTCTTTAATCAAAATTTGATAAGGAATAATTGAAAATATTTTAAATATTATTTTTTAATGGATAAACTTTTTCAGTAACTTAAAGTATGATGTTCTACATTCATGAGTTAAATCTTTGCCAAAATTGTTTCCCTGCTTACCTCGTTATCCTCCAAATCCACAAACTCTAGTCGAGCATTGCTTTGTAGACCAGACAAGCTTCTAATAATGTTACCAGACAAATCTAATTCCTGAAATGAATTATCATAAATAAATTATTTAATACTTCAATCAATTCTGTACTGGCTGGTTACAATTTTTTTACATCAATTTTGCTTTTTTTTTGACGTTGTACACCTATTATTCCATTGTGTAACTGTAAATGGCTCTAGAAATTACTATATATTTGCCAAATATTAACTAATTAATTTAAGGTTTAAAAAGCAAATTATTAATTACTTTATCTTAATGTGATGATGTCACTTCTCTGAATGAGATTTCTGTTTTTACTTTCCATACTTCAATTAGGTTTTTAAAAATACAAAAGATAGTAACTAAAAGTGGTAAAACATATTTCCTCTACTAAAGAGAGCCAATGTATAATATTAATATCCTCTTACTCTGAGGTACTTCAGATTTTCCAAACTCTCCTTCATCCTGATTAGATTATTGCTCTGAGAAACAAGAAAATACAATATAATATCCTGGTATATTAAAGAACAAGAGCTTCCTTGGTGTAAAAATTGATTAGAATTTAGGGTTGCGCAGGTAAGTACTTGGTTCATTAATGAATGTGCTGCCAATAATATATAAACTGAAAATAGTTCAGATTGTGTCTTGCCCTACTAACAGAAATGGTACTCGTTTTCAGACTAAATGACAATAATACTTTAAGTCCCTTGGTATATAAAGCAAAGTTTTCATATATAAAATAAAAACATTCTTAAGCTTTAAGCATTCTTTAATATATATATATATAATTTGTTGCAATATAAAATAAACTTGTTTTTCAGCTTTGTTAAAAAAAATATAGTCTGACCATGAAAAATCCTCAAGTCATTTTTTCAACATGTTTTAAAACACTCTTTGGTTTTTATATTTGTTATATGAGAGGCTTGAAAGATTTTCTGGCCTATTCTGCTAATAGGTGCGTGGCAATCCTTGCTTAACGCTTACCAGATTTAAATACTGGATAGGCAGACCATCAAGTCCTACAATTTGAGAGATTTTATTGTGTGCCATACTGAGATACTTTAATCTCATGCATTGGCTCAGACCTGATATTTCTGAAATGGAATTATCTTGATTTGGCTAAAGAAAATATGTATTAATGAAAAAGAGTTTAATTAATATGTCTTTGGACCAAATGATAATGACATTTGCTGAAGGACCTGACCATTGGGGTTTCATTCACTGGCCATCATTGTTGAATGGACTAAACCTTATCTTCCCTCTGAATGAAATGACAGGTTTGGGGCAAAATTAATCCACTTATGCACACAAATAAAACAGAGATAAAGCCAAGGGCTTCTGTAAGTTTGGCTTTAATTCACCTCAAAGAGTCTTAAAAAAAACATTCTGATAAAAATTGAGCAATTTATAGCATAATACAAATTAAATGCTTATGGATTTTTCTGTCCATAAATATGTTTATTTTAAAAATAATTCCCTAGATTAAATGAGAAACTAAAGGAGATAATGAAACTATTATAACCATTGCTAATACCGGGTATTCTGGATTATTGAAAATTAAATATTTTGATTATTTTATACATTTCCATTAATCCAGGGGAGAACAGTCTACTGCCTACAATTTTGAAAATATAATGCACCCCACCAGAGGCGTAGCTAGAGTGTTTTGCGCTTGGGGGACAAGATTCATTTTAAAGCTCCTTTTTTCAACTCTCAAACCCATTATTTGCGTTAATAAAATAATATCAAAGCAAATTTTGGTGTGGTGCCCCTAGATAGTCTTGGCACCCAGAGACCTCTGTCCCCCCTGCCCCCCTCCCCTAGATATGCCCTACTTATTGTAATACATGCTTATTTTCCCCCTCTTTAAGCAGAATCTAGACTAAATTTCTTAAAGACCTAATTATGACCAGTGCATTTTGGAAAGGATACTGCTTAGATCAAGCTTTATTAAGCAGCGGTGGCTGGACAAATTTGCCATTTCAGAGATGTTGTTCCATGACAAATTGACCTCTTGAAGATTAAAAGGCGGAGTAAAATCCAACAACTTTTCAATTTTATTGTGGGATGCATCAAGAATGATCAAGTTGTGAAGTTTCCCCAGTGGGGAAAGATCTTTAAAGAGAAAACAAAAGTTGTTTTTTAAATAAAGAACATAATTAATAATTTCTCATTTATAATACTTTTTTCAAAATCGCATCTTGGCCAACAAAGATAACAGTTTTTAAGTCTCTTGATATTATAAGATTTTCCTGGTATAGTAAATATAGTCTTTTAAACTCAAACTTAACACTTTTAAGCATGAATAGTTTGTAAAAAAAAAAGTATGAAGAATATAAAATGCAATGATAATACTGGTTATTTATGAGAAAGCAGTGACTAACCTGTGATATCATTATATGGAATTTCCACTTTCTGCAAGTATTCATATTCTCCTAACAAAGTTACATCAGTAAGAGAGAAACCCTATGACAGAATAAAAAGTATTTAATAATACACAATTAATTTTATCTTATTTAATATAACAGTACTGCACTCATCTGATCATAAAAATGGTAAAATCAAAAAATGTATTTAAATCCATTTCTGAAAGCTCCAATGCTTTCCTTCTTATGTAAAGCATGGCTGGCTTTACCATAAGGTAGAGTTTCCCAAACTTTTGCCATCTGTGTACCCTGGTCTATAATTTTCATAACACTGAGTACCCCGTGCTAAAAAAAAATTACATATTCTAACTATTAAAAAAAAAAAGTGTTCCATTGCAGCACGTACCCCCACCAAACTCTTCCTGTACACTCAGGATAAAAAGGAAGATATGTTAGGAAGTTGTTTTCAGAAATGGTTCTCTCAGTAGAGGAAAAGTATTCAGAGTTGACTATTATTTCCTGTCTTATGAAAGTGGTTACGAAAGTCTGGTCGACCAGTAAGTGTTTTGATAAATGAGAATCAAGCAAGTCTTCTCCATCAGGTGCTGTGTGTGCCCCTACAAAGTCTTTGATGAGCATTTTCATACCAAATACAGGTTGGACAACACTTAATGGAGTGAGATGTGCGATCTAGGATGATGTATTTTGGAGCATTTTTGGCCATGGTGTACCGGTATCCATATTTTTATAGGAATATGTGGTTCTCCAACAAAGGTCACATTCCCTCACTGGTTGATCAAACCACTCCCCCCCCCTTTTTTTTCCATTGACAGAATGCCTCTCAAGAATAATGAGATTTTTAACTAAAGACAGTGTTACTTGGTGCAAAACTTTCCTTGAATCATTCTGCCAAGATTTTTTCAAACTTAATCCCAACCTTCATGACCACTAAGTTATGAGAAAGACTTTTTTCTCCATTTTGAGACCTTTATCGAGTAAAAATTTTCCAACAAATCTTCCTTTTCACTACTGGGAACAAGTGGCAGCTTAAGCAATCAACTTTTGACAACGGCACATGCATGTAAGATGCCATAATTCAGAATTGGATGTTTTGACACAGACTTTATTATGCATTTATTTTTGAAGATGCACAGGAATGCAATAATTTTGACCAGTCATTAATGCATAATGAAAACAAAGATATTGATTCTGAATAGCTGCATTAACTGCAAAGTAAAATACCTGGGTGTTACCATTCAAAGAGAGGTCCGCTGGGACGAGCATATTAACAATGTATGTAACCAAGCAAACAAGACCCTAGGGTTCTTAAGGCGAAATCTAAAGATTGGCAACTCCCGTGTGAAAGAAAGAGCATATAAAGCCTTTACCCGTCCGATTTTAGATTATGCATCTTCAGTCTGGGACCCATTTACCCAGAAGAGCATTGACAGGTTGGAGGCGGTCCAGCGACGAGCAGCACGCTTTGTCCTAAACCGCTACAGGAATACCTCTAGTTAGGCTGGTCACCATTGGAGAAACGACGACGACAATCCAGGCTCTCCATGATGTACAAGATAAATAATGGGCTGGTCCACTGTTCCAGTATTAAACAGAAACTCGTCCCTCTCCCCCATAGACAGCGATGAGGCCATGACAGGCAATTCAGGCTCATACCATCAAGAAGCCAGTATATGAGCTGCTCATTCCTGCCCAAGACAATCAGGGACTGGAACAATCTTTCAAAAGGAACGGTTGAGGCGACAACACTAGACACATTTGTGTCTATTGCCTTAAGCCTTCAAACCACTAGTGCATGATTTCCTCATCAACACCAGTAACAGAAACATTGCAAATCCCATCTACATGTATAGGAGCCAAAATGATCAATAAATTGATCGTGAGCCCTTAAGATATAGAAGAAGAAGAAGAACTGCTTTGTGAACTTAATGCTATAGCCTGAAGACTTCTAACATTAGTGGTGCCACAAGAACATAATCCTTCAATAAAATATTCTATATTTCAATAGCCTTAAGAATCTTTCTCACTCTTCCAGAATAAGTGTTAAGTGCTGTGCATGACTTCTCAAAGCTGAAAACATAAAAAATTATTGATCAGTGGTGCTGGCAGATCTTAGAAGAAAGTACATACATTTATGATTATGCATTAATTCTGCATTAATTATCATGTAATTCTGACAGTCCCTAATATCTCTAATAAAGCCAACTTTCACCTAAAAATCTGTGGATTTCCTGTTTGATAATTAATTTGTTTTAAAATATCACTGCAGAGTTTTGTAATTATCATCCCATCATATGCTTTATCACATCCAATGCTTTGTCACATCGTATGCCTTTTCACTTCATACGCTTTGTTTTTTTCACAGAATTTTGCAATTGTAATTTTTTTTTATTTTGGAAGTCGTTGGGGAGGGGGGGGGGGGCTGAAATCCCATTGTACATTTGCATATTGGGCTGGGGGGGTGGGGGTGGGGGGGTGTCCAAAGTAAAGAATAGGTTATTTTTTCAATGACAGGGAAATTTTAATTTTGACTATTTTATATATACTAGGGCTGAAATCTCATTGTACATTTGCATATTGGGCTGGGGGGGTGGGGGTGGGGTGGTGTCCAAAATAAAGAATAGGCTATTTTTTCAATGACAGAGGAATTTTAACTCCATGACCAGTTGGTTACTTTTACTTTGACTTCAGTTGATCTAAACAGAAATCATTTGAGTTTCTTTTAATTATTAGAATGAATTACCACATACAGGAATCGTAACATTTAAATAGACTTGATGATCTCCATGAGCAGAGCGTCCCAAGTTTGATAGGCCTCTTGAAATAGTTTCTTCATCAAGTACTCCACCGGGTGATAACTGCAATGAACAGAGTTTTGTATTGTTTAACAATGCCTTACATTTACATTACATGTTTCTGAAATATTCTGAAATGTAAATATGGGATTCAATCACAGTTATTATACTGTATCATAGTAGCCACAGCATTGATACATTTTTAAAAAATCTTTTACTAAACAGATCTAAAATAGAAAGGGGCGATAGTGTAGCCTTGGTGTGAGGCAAAGGGTTTTTAAATTGAACAATCGGTGGTGGTTTCCTCAACAATATTAAGGTCCAGTTCTTTCTGTTCAAAATTAGAACAGTTTATATAAGCTTTAACTTTAATTATTCAAGATGAAATACCTTCATCCGTACAACAGTATAACTAATTAAATTAATGTAAATTAAAATTTTAAATTTTATGAATGTATGTATATATATTTATGTCCTACCAATAACTATTAAGAAAATGTACCAGTCCTCACAAAAACACAGATCAGAAGAATGGAATGAAAGTGGGCGGAACTACAATTTAAAAGTAAACAGAAAAAGACATGGCTGCTGTGTAACTTTTTGAAGTGATGAATACCTACGGAGTCAACATATTAAATATTTTGATTTATTTGTTTTCCATATAAAGTAAATCAGCTTTCCCCAAATGCTTGTCAGTGGGCCAGCACTGGTCATTGAGCCATACATTGCTGGTCTGCACAACATGAATATTTATGGTCAAATCAAAAGAAAATATAATAAATAAATCTTGCACCAGTCCCTGGAGCAATTTTGAAACTTGTCAACCAGTACACCAAACTATAGAGCTAGGGATATGCTCGTGTAAATCATGTTGTGACTTGTGCAGGTGAAACGATCTTTGAATCTGAAAATATCAAGCAGGAAAGTGATTTGATAAACTTCAATCACATAGGAACATATGTTATACTGGCTAAAGTTACAACTTTTGGTGCCTATGTGTGCTTTAATAGCAGGGAGGTGACTTCTTCTTGGCATACCCCTAAGACTCGTCTCTCCTGATGTTTTTATAAAATTTGATTGCAGACGACTTTGATGGGCTGATCCTTAAAAATTAGATAGAGGAACATAAATCAATCGTGTCTGGTCATACCTTTAATTTAAGTCAATTTCATTCATCACAAAATTGAAATGAAATGTATTTAAAGTAGACTAACACAAAACAAACTTTTCTTTAAATCTGAGGCAACATGATGAAAATGTGTGATACATTAATTTTCAGTGTTTATGGAGCTTTATAATAGGCTTTTTGGAATAAAGACGCACTGAGCTACATCAGTGGATCCCAAACTTTCTACTGGCATCCCTTTTAAAATCACTTTCTAAGGAGAAGATTCTTAGACATACCCTATATCTTAAAAGTTAATGATATTTAGAAGTAGAGTTACAGTGGGAGGGAGCTGCCACATAGCCCCTGAGAAATGCATGCGTTTGGGAACAACTGGGGTACATTATATGTTATAACCAATCTCTCTCTATTGGCTACTCTGCTCCATGGACACTATTTCCTCTCTCTTTTTTTCTACCATTAGTTGGGAACCACTGGGCTAAATTATATTTTATAACCTATCTATCTCTATTGGCTTCTCTGCTCTATGGACACCATTATGGACACTATTGCTTCTCTCTTTTTTCTCCAATCCATCAATATTTTGGGAGAGAGGGGGGTCAAATCATGGCAATGCTTCTCCAATGACACACTGAGTCCCAAAGTTCAATGTAAAATTTACTTTCACATCTGGTTTGATTTAAATTTGGAAAAATATTTAACATTTTTGTTACCTCTTTGTTTCTAAATAGCCAAATATCCATTTAAATAAATATTTTTTTATTTGAATTTAAGGTTTTATTTATCATAATGCTATTTCCAATGGATCTTTGATCTATTTCTGAGAATAAACTTGATATAATATTTTAGTATGATTTTCTAACTTTATCTCCATTTTTTAAGTTAACATGTGACATGACATTAAAAATGTAAATTAAAAAATAGTTTGGTATAAATATCTTTTACATTCACATGTAATTTTTACATTTTCAAAAACTTAAGTAAAAACTGTTGGCATGGAGGTTATGGCTATGGTTAATAATAATTTATATCAATGTTCCCAGAAAAAATATTTAAAGTAAAAGAGGGAATGGCAAATTATAAATTTATGATGGTTCACGCACCTCTCTGGTATGATGACAGGTAATTTTTTTTTTCATAATTTGTATTGTAACTTAATCTACTTGCTTAAAAAACACAGTTCAGTGAGTAGCTATACTATAATATATATATAACTAGGCTATACTAAGCTAAGTCTGCTAAGCATTTCATTTTTTGAACTTACTATCTAACTTAGTAGATACTTCGCCGAAGCAAGGGACACTCCTAGTAAATTTGTTTTGGAAATGGGCATCGGCGCAGTAGGATCCGAGTTTTTAATTTTTTTATGTGCATGTAATTTGAATAAATTAGGAGTCCTTTTGGCCCATAATTAAGGTTTGACTCCGCCCATTAACGTTAGGAGAAATGTTGAACTACATTCCCATTGAGTTAATTTGTTATTTATCTCAACTATAAGTGAGGAAAATCTTATGTCAATATAAGGCATCTTCGCATTAAAAAATTCGGTCTAAATATTCAAAGTAGGTCTTTTATATTAAAAGTAGGCCTGCATAATTTGTTGAAGTACACATGTGCAAAATTTCATTGAGATAGCTCATGAAAAATTGTTCACAATTCTCCTCAACGTTGACCTCATTATGCAAAGGTCGCACAGGCCATTTTGGATTAGTGATCCTGCCTCCTTTTAAATGGCGGAAAACGCTGATGCTTAGCTTAGGAAATATTCATTATTATCTCTACATGCATCAAAATATTTGATAACCTGTGTTTCAGAATGCATTTTGAAAACATTTAAACTAGAATTTTGAAATTTGAGCTTTAAAAACCTGGTAGAGTCCATATTATTAGCTATCAGAATTGACCGTGTGCAAAAATTCATGGGAAACCACAACCATTTGCATAATGCTATGCCGTAGTCGTAGTACTACCGACTACCTCAAGCTTCATTCATAAGAGTTTGCAGTGTGTAAAAACTATTAACACCATTGGTCAGGGAAAGCTTTAGTTAATTAGTCATGTGCCAAAGTTAAAAGTTCAAAATAAGTAGATACCAAACAACATTTTAGGGGGTGCGTTGCCTTATAATAGACCATATAGCATTTACCAGTATAATGGACGCTGAAGATTTGATAAACAGAAAAGCCATATATTGATACATTATATTTAATTTACTGATATAAATAGTGCATAGTTAGATAAGCTACAATTTATCTATAATTGTTAAAATTATTAAACTTATTTTTTTAATTCAGCATTAGATCTGAAAATAAAATTATCATTAAAACAAGAGTTATTTAGCTCGTGACGCGAACAGCGAAATTGGGTACCAGAAAATTGAGATGGGGGTCCATGTTAAAAAAAGGACAAATTAAGTCGTACTTCAAAAATTCATAACTTTAAAACTACAACAGCTAAAAATATGATTTTGGTGTTATAATTCTTTTTTATCGAATTTCACGAATGTATCCCTAAATCAATCCCTATGCCTAACCTGAACCCTAACTCGATCCCTATGCCTAACTTGTACCCTAATTCGATCCCTAAACCTAACCTAAACCCTAATTCACTGCAACTATAATAAAGACACAAAAGATGCCGTGGCAGCCGTCCTTGGTTTTAGCCAAAATTAGCTTTATTAAACTATGCCATTGGTTTATTTCTTCAAAAAGTTTTAATTTTCTAATCAAAGTAAATTAAGTACCTAAATCTAACTAACCTCTTCCATGTATTCCTCTTCCTGCATTTGGGATTCAATATTTTCTTTCACATCTTCCATTAAAATTCCTGATGGTTCCCTAGAAATATCTTCATGCACTTTCAGGATATCTGTTTCTGGATCTAAATCTACTGGCATGGGATCATAGTGCTTTTCGTAAACGGAGTCCATCTTTCCTTCTCTGTTTGCAAGTCCACCATGAGTAAACGACTCTATGGCAACTGAGAGGTTCGAGGGTCAAACAAGTCTCGGGCTTAAAATTTAATATTTGAAAAGAAAAAAAAAAATCTTGGGGTAACAAAGGCTAAACTAATAAATTATTTATAATAATTAAATTATATAAAATATATATTTAAAAAATATTTAAAAAATAAAAATAATTAGCATAACAAAAATAGAAATATAGAATATAGTGTAACAAAAAAAAATTAACCAACTTTGACTTTAAATCTAGAGTTAGATCTAACTGACTCCATGATACATCCATGACATACTGGAGATACTCTCAGTCAGTAGTATGTTTATGATAATGATAAATCATGCATGAGTGTCATGAGGAAGGAGAGATATCAGTCATGGCACTTACTTTTATTTGATGGAAAATCAATCCCACATACTTCAATTATGATTCCAAAAAAAAAGCGGACAAGCCCGGGGAGGGGGGGGGGGGTTGTATGTTAAGTAGTAAACCATTTTTTTTTTTACAATTAATTTATATATTTTCTTACAAATATTTTAATACGTTTTAAAATAATAACTTCAAAAATTTATTTAAAATTCAAAACATCAAATATATTATAATAATATGTAAAATATTAAATTACATTTTAATTTGTTGTCGTTTGTCATTTTTTTTTTTTAAAAAAAAGGGGAAAAAGCCGGGGGGGGGGGGGGGGGTTGTATGTTAAGTAGTAAACCATTTTTTTTTTTACAATTAATTTATATATTTTCTTACAAATATTTTAATACGTGTTAAAATAATAACTTCAAAAATTTATTTAAAATTCAAAACATCAAATATATTATAATAATATGTAAAATATTAAATTACATTTTACTTTGCTGTCGTGTGTCATTTTTTTTTTTTTTTTTTTTACTTTTTAACTTTATTCAACGTTTTTTTTTTTTTTTTTTTTTTTTTTTTTTTTTTTTTTTTTTTGACTGTGCAACTTTAATCAACGCTTTGTGTTTAAGGAATAATTCTTTAATTCCAGTACAACGTTGAGAAATATTTAAAAATATACAAATTTCACTTCGAACTGATGGTACCGGTACAAACAGTCGGTTACGTTCATCAGTCCACAATTTCCCATGAGGCTGAAAATTCGTTCAACGTTTGCATTTGATACCGGAATTGATGCACAATACTGGAACAGTTTCAGTAAACTCGGAGCTGGCTTTCTCTTGAAAAAGTACGTCCACTTTTCCAGGGATGAATCGCCCTGAAGATGAACATAAACTTCTTCTAAGGCAGAAATGTCATTGAAGAGAGTGTTGAGTGGAAGTTGTTCTCGCCATGGTGATAATAATCACATGTTCGTCATTTCTTCTAAAGTTGGAGGATCATTGCGATCAATTAGATTTAAACAACTTAGCGTCTCATATACTGAATCGGCGAATATGGATTTGTTATCTTTGTCTCATACTCATTCTAACTTAGGAAAAAAAATACAAAACGCGGTTTTCCTATCCATCTTCTCTTAGACTGTACAGCTTTAGATTAGTACCATTAGTACCATTTCATCATAAACCTTTTAAATTAAACAATGTCCACTATTTTGGGAACAATATAGTGAACGTAATGTGAAAAAAAGTGGACTGTCCGCTCAAATAGTGGACACCTGGCAACCTTAACTTTATTGTGTGTGTGGGAGGGGGGCAGTAGCTTAGGAAAGGGGATGGAGTGGAGCACTTTTTTTTCTGCATATTGAATATTGGAGGCATTGTTTCTTTCAGACATCAGTCGGGTGGGGGTGGGGGGCATGAAGTCAACTCCAGGCGCTCCCCCCCCCCTCGGCCAAACCGTAGGAAACAATATGTACAACAACAAAACCCAAATATATTTTCTAAAAAAAGATTTTCTTTTCATTTTTATATTATTTTTTAAAAATAGTAACTGCTCCATATTACCAATTAATAAATGAATTAGTGGAACCTATGAAATATCGCTACGCCGTATATTTAAAAGCTAAATATGTTTATTTATTTTTAGTTTTGTTTTTTTTTTTAATTTTTGTACAAACTTTTGGTCAATCTGGCATTTATTTGTTATATGACTTTGAGAGAATATCTGGCAATAGGAAACACATGTTCTCAAACATGGCGACTTTCTTGATTCGACCTTTCTTAGGTGCTTCTACTAAAAACGCAACAAAGAAGTCTCCTTTAATTTTTAAGTATGCCAAGCGCATAGTTGAAACACCGACAGAAAGTTTTTCTACATGTACCAGACTTCTTGCAGCCCCACCAGCAGCAAGTAAGAAAGTATTCGTTAGAGATAAGCCACATCTTAACATTGGAACAATAGGTCATGTGGATCACGGAAAAACAACTCTAACAGCGGCGATTACCAAAGTGCTTGCAGGAGAAAACAAAGCTGCTTTTAAAGCGTATAGTGACATTGACAATGCACCAGAAGAAAGAAAGAGGGGTATCACTATTAATGCAGCAACGGTTGAATATGAAACTGAAGCACGCCATTATGGCCATGTTGACTGTCCTGGACATGCGGATTACATAAAAAATATGATTACAGGTACAACCCAAATGGATGGTGCTATTCTTGTTGTTGCTGCAACTGATGGAACAATGCCACAGACACGAGAGCATCTGTTGCTTTCAAAACAAATAGGCATTAAGAGACTTGTAATATTTATAAATAAAGCAGATGCTGCAGACAAGGAAATGCAAGAGTTAGTTGAGATGGAAATACGAGAGCTATTGACAGAGTTTGGCTACAATGGTGATGAAACACCTATCATAATTGGATCTGCATTAAAAGCACTTGAAGGTACAGATCCTGATCTGGGTGAAAACAAAATAAAAGAACTTTTAAAAGCTATAGATACTTACATAGAAACCCCAGTTCGTGATTTAGACAAACCTTTTTTCATGCCCATCGATGGCTGTTATAGTATTCCTGGAAGAGGTACTGTTATTTCAGGAAGAATAGAAAGAGGTGTTGTTAAGAAAGGAGATGATTGTGAAATTATGGGGTATGATAAAAAATGGAAAACCAATATCACTGGAATTGAAATGTTCAAGAAAAGTCTTGAGAGAGGAGAAGCTGGTGATCAGCTAGGAGCACTTATCAAAGGTGTGAAAAGAGAAGAAATGAGAAGAGGCCTCTGTGTGGGGAAGCCAGGAACAATGACTATGCATAACCACTTTGAAGCTCAAATATATTTGCTTTCAAAGGTAGGCATTAGCTTCCTTATATATATTTCAATTTAATTTACGAAGTGTCTACACGTCCGCGCGCCGGACAAATAGTGCGCAATATATACGTCCGGCGGCATGTCACGTGACCACCGGACGGCTAGTAGTTTTTATAATTCCGAACGAAGCGCAGTTTGGTAGATCTAGTGTGGTCTTGTGGTAGAGTGGTCGCTTGACGATGTTATTGTTTGAGGATCAATGCCGGGGATAGGATAGTTTCTTTTTTTCTTCCCATTTTAATTAAAAATATTTTATACTATATTTATATTATCATGTTCATCAGCAACAGTAGTTTCATGTGAAGTTTTTAAATATTTTGTAGCAATTTAAACAATTTAAAATGAAATCTTTTACTTTTTTTGGTTGCCTACTCCACACTGGCCCCTAATTTATTTTATGGATTACTGGTACACAAACTCAAATAACAAACTAAACAAAAATGTTTACAAGCCACTTTCACTTAAGTTTTTTTCTATTATTTGCATTCAAGATACGCAGTACATTACTTGGTAGAGAAATAGATTTTAGAATTAAAAATAGTTTTGAATCATTCGCAGTCAACGTGACAAGGCTGACCGACAAAATATCTCTCGCCACTTTGTTACGGTGGTCATGTGACTTGGTCGCCGGACAAATGGTGCGGGAGATATACGTCCGGCGCGCCGGACGTGTAGACACTGCCTTTAATTTAACCTTCTAAAATTTCGTATTTATTAACTCCTTCCCAACAATAATTGCAACTGAATGCATCATTCATGATTAAGTGATTCATCCTGGGACCATGGACGCACCTCATTTTTATTTTAAATAGCAACAAAATCTTGCATACCTTGAGACTTCGGGTAGTGATGGTGTGATTTTTATTAATTTCTGGATGCGTTTATCCTTAATTGATAAATATATTAATTAATATTTAGCAGCATACATTTGTTTTTTACAAATGGAAATCAGTTACAAAACAGAGTTACTTTCCTCTCTCGGGTATATAAATCAAGTAAGGAAGTAGCATAAAGATAATCAAAAAGGGCTTACATACAGTATGGGGCCATCCATATATTTATGCGCCAAGCTTTTGGAGATAGTGCCTACTGGTGTATGGGGGTGTGAGGTCATCCTCCGCAAAAAAATAGTACATTAATGCAATAATTCTGCAATAACTTTACTAATTTTCTGACAGTCTCTGAATCATATCTCTAATAAAGCTGATTGTCGCAAAAAAATGAAATCTATGATTTCTAATTACGTTCATCAAGGCCATTAAAGTATCACTGCAAAATTTTTTAGTTATCATCAACCTACAGCTTTGTGTTTTCTCAAATAACTCATTCAATATCAAACGACAATCTTTAGCCCATTGACTCACTAGTCTATAGCAGTGACAGTGTTTCCCAAACTTAAGTTTGGTGGACTGGTGAACAAGTTTTAAAATGCACCAGAGATCAGTGCCAGATTTATTATTTTTTCTTTTTATTTGACCATGAATACAATTTTTGTGGACGGTCTGCAACTTAAGTATACAGTATACAGGCTCATGGTCAGCGGACACTTAGGTAAACACTGGTCTCCATGTATGTGTCTTAATTTGTGAAAAAATTATTTATTTCGGCTAAACCACTCGGCTGCACTTTCCCAAGAAAATGGAAACAACCCACAAACAACAGACCTGTTTACCCTCAAACTCTTGAAATTGTTCAATATGATAAAAAATCGTTCAATACCTTATATTTATTCATAAAAAATAAACATACAGTATATATAATGTATACCCCTCAAAATCGTACAATGTACGCCAAAATCGTAAGAGTAAACAGGTCTTAAACAATTACAGAATTTAACCATATTTTTTGTCAACACTTGAGCACCTGAAACGTTTCAGTGTCAGTGGGAAAACTAAAATAACTGAGATTTCCAGCCTGCCTTTTCTTGCTATTTAGATTCACAATTGTGGGATAAAACTTAAAATAAGTGAGATATGTTTGTATTGCCATCGCAATATAACAAAGCATATAGTCAATTAAATAAAAATTCTGTTTTCACATTACAGTTACACCCACACCTCTAAGATATATCACTAGTACCAGTAATATTTAGTCCACCATTCATATCTGTATGTTTTTGTGCATGACACATAATTATTTTGTTAGGTTATGCCAATGGTCCCTTACATTTTTCTATTCTCTGTGCCCATGCCAATTCATGTTTTTCCTAGGGGCCTTATGTTAAATTCTGACATGTACACTTAAAAATGCAAATACATTTTAAACTAATTAAAGGGTCGGTTGGAGATAGACAAAATGCATATGTAGGTCACTAAGTGCCATTTAGTTAATATATTTGTAGGAGGTTCTGTAAACCAGCCTTTTCCAAACTTTTAAGTTTGGCGGACCGGTGGCCACGTTTTGAAATTGCACCAGGGACCGGTGCCAGTGCCAGGTTTTATTAATTACATTTTCTTTTTATTCGACCATGAATATTCATGTTGTGTGGACAGACGCCGGTCCGCAGACCATCATTTGAGAAACACTGCTGTAAACAGTAAGGGGTCATTCATTACCAGTACTCAAGTGAGTTACTGGTTTGCATCAGGTCCGCGAGATGTCATGTCCTCTAACATTGGATTGAAAGTGGAAATACATTATCATATTAAGCAGTTTTGGCAATGGCTCTGATGAATCAACTGCTTGTGGAGAAAACTAGTGAAAAATTTGTGACATGGTTAACGTTGATATCATAATTGTCTATAAATAGATAATTTATTTTTGAGATGGGGCTTCCAAAAAAATTATGGATTTAACAGGGGGGGGGGGGGAGTTTGACTATTTTGCTTGCATAATACATTCAGCTGTTGTTTTTGAAATATTTATTGTATTTAATTCTAACCAATATAATTAATCATTCTAACAATATTAGTATTAGTAACAAGATATTTGTTTTTTATGCCATCATAACTTTAGTTACTGGTTAGTACTTAAAATTTATTTTCCATTTTATACTTACTAGGATGAAGGTGGTAAAAATAAGCCTGTGACACCTTTTGCCCAAGTCATCACATTCTGTAATACATGGTCTCAGCCTGCTCTTCTTGAGATTCCAGACAAAGACCTGTTGATGCCTGGAGAAGATGGAAAACTTGTTTTCAATATGTATAAGAAGATGGTTTTGGAGAAGAATCAACGATTTACTGTCCGCGATGGCCAGGTTACCCTTGGCTATGGTGTCATAAGTAACATTCTACCTGATCGTGATCCAGAGGAATTAGATAAAACACGAAAAGCTATTAAGAAACAAAGAAAAGCTGCAGAAGAAGCAGCTGCAGAATGATCAATATTTTCATAGCTATGGGACCATCCATAAAGTATGTCAAACTCTGGAGGGGGTCTAAGAAAGTGTGACAATTTGTGAGGGATGGGGGTACTAAAACCTGAAATTGACAGTGCTGTTTAACTTTCTTTTTTCACTAATTTTTTATTTTTAAAAAAAATTTTTAGTTAGAAGTGTGACATACTTTAGGGGAAGGGTGTGAAATTTGTGACAGGTGGGGGAGGAGGAGGTGAAAATTTTCCAAATATAGCATGACATACTTTATGGATGGCCCCTTACTCATATTATTTTTTATATCATAGGTCCTTACTCGTAAATGTTATAAATAATTCCTTTAAAAAAATAATTTATATATCATTATGAAAGCAACTCAAGCACTGCTCTATTCGAAAGTTGATTTGGAAAGAATTTTAATATTCATTATGTATAGGCTATGTAAAAGATCTTGAGTTGTTGAATTAAAGCAAATATATTTTAATTACCCTGTACCAGAATTTCATTTAGAAACATTTTCATCCAAAAAAGCAAAATTTTTCTGCATTTTAATATATTTATTTGTTGAGATGTCGAAATTGTATTATTGTTGGGTTTTAGTTAAATGTTAATGGCTAAGAGTAAGAGTGTATGCACTTCGGTACCATACGAATATTGTTTGGCTAAGATGTTACGGTAATACCATTATATGTAAAAGCATCTTGTTTCAATAAATGTGGTCAACTCAAATTACATCCTTTTTTATTCTCAGATTGAAATAAAATAAATAATTCAGCCTTGTTTTATCGAATGAATTTTTTTCAGTTTTGTTAAAACACTTCTTTCATGATCCGATGCACAAGATGTTTTTTTTTAATCATTGGTGTAAAACAAACATGTAGTTTTTGAAGTTTTACACTTACAACTACGATGATTATGTCCAATGTTTTCCATTATGTATTAATTAAGACTAAGATAAGACCACTTAATCCCAGTCTACGCTTGTTCATTATTGTAACAGTTCTCTATTATTCAATTGGTCTACTTTATAATATATTTGGACAAACGTAAGGGTCCCACAATTTTGAAAAGATTTCTTTACATTTACAGTGATACTAACCTACTAAAGGTATGACTAAAGAGGTCAGAATTAATTGAAGTCCATTACGTTATCTTTAGGAAAATGCATAGTCTCTAAATCTAAAGTGCTTGTTTCAGATTTGAACTCATTTTTAAATGACCAGTGTTACCAAACCTTGAGCATGCTGTAATAGGGTGAAATGAGCTGTAATTTGTTTACTAAATGAGAAGTAACTTGAGCACTGCCGTAATAGGATGAACTGAGCTGTAATTTGTTTACTTAAACTTAATGAGAAGTAATCTGTGTTCTTAATGCGATTAGCACCAGAAAAAGTTGAGAGGGTCGCTGATAAAAATTGGTTCACAATACCACAGACTAAATCTAATAATTGTATTAGACTTACAATTATTTAATTTACCGTATATACTCGCACGTAAGTATACGCCTACATCGCATATAAGCCGACCCCCTAAAACTGCTTTAAAATGGCTAGTTTTCGCAAAACCCTGTATATAAGCTGACCATCCAATTGTCTAATTTTACTCCATATTTTTTCTTAATTTCATGCCATTTTTGACTTCGAAAATGAATTCTCCATGGTATTATTCATACCCAGTATAATTATCAGCTATGCATACCAGTACACTAAATTCTTTGAAGTGACACCTCTGTATATATATATATATTAGTACTCAGTGCACACAACCAAATAAAGAGACAGATAGCGATGAAAATGTGTGGCTGGAAAATTGGCATTAGTGTCTGTCCTAGTGTCCATTTTTTTTTTTTTTGAGCACATTTTAGTATTGTATTTTATGTTTCTAAATTCGGCTTATATGCGAGTATATACGGTATATTGAAATATATTATGAATGTTTGATATATCTATAAATTGTAAATACAAAACACAAACATAATGCACAGGCTAATTCTAATAAGTCAGTAGCTTCAAGCCATCTCCTTGTTCATGGGGTACTATTATTGAGATCCTACCTACATGCCCACAATGCTCCACTATTGAGACCACACCTACCTACATGCCCACAATGCTCCACTATTGAGACCACACCTACCTACATGCCCACAATGCTCCACTATTGAGACCACACCTACCTACATGCCCACAATGCTCCACTATTGAGACCACACCTACAAGCCCACAATGCTCCACTATTGAGACCACACCTACCTACATGCCCACAATGCGCCACTATTGAGACCACACCTACATGCCCACAATGCTCCACTATTGAGACCACACCTACATGCCCACAATGCTCCACTATTGAGACCACACCTACAAGCCCACAATGCTCCACTATTGAGACCACACCTACCTACATGCCCACAATGCTCCACTATTGAGACCACACCTACCTACATGCCCACAATGCTCCACTATTGAGACCACACCTACCTACATGCCCACAATGCTCCACTATTGAGACCACACCTACCTACATGACCACAATCATCCATGAACAGGAGCATTACTAGGGGGGGGGGGTGTCACAAAATGGACAATTTCAATTTTGACAGAATTCGTCAGTCAGTCCAATTGTATATATTCAAAAGTACAAGAGGGTGGTGCCACATCATAACTCCTGTAAATTAAAGGGTGCCACCAGTTTAGGTTGCAACCAAAGCAAAGGTGCTACCGGTACCAGAAAGCGGGCTCGGGGGGAAGTCTGCGCTGGGTTGACACCAACCTAGTGCTACCGGTACCAGAAAGCGGGCTCGGGGGGGGGAAGTCTGCGCTGGGTTGAAACACTTCTTTCATGATCCGATGCACAAGATGTTTTTTTTTAATCATTGGTGTAAAACAAACATGTAGTTTTTGAAGTTTTACACTTACAACTACGATGATTATGTCCAATGTTTTCCATTATGTATTAATTAAGACTAAGATAAGACCACTTAATCCCAGTCTACGCTTGTTCATTATTGTAACAGTTCTCTATTATTCAATTGGTCTACTTTATAATATATTTGGACAAACGTAAGGGTCCCACAATTTTGAAAAGATTTCTTTACATTTACAGTGATACTAACCTACTAAAGGTATGACTAAAGAGGTCAGAATTAATTGAAGTCCATTACGTTATCTTTAGGAAAATGCATAGTCTCTAAATCTAAAGTGCTTGTTTCAGATTTGAACTCATTTTTAAATGACCAGTGTTACCAAACCTTGAGCATGCTGTAATAGGGTGAAATGAGCTGTAATTTGTTTACTAAATGAGAAGTAACTTGAGCACTGCCGTAATAGGATGAACTGAGCTGTAATTTGTTTACTTAAACTTAATGAGAAGTAATCTGTGTTCTTAATGCGATTAGCACCAGAAAAAGTTGAGAGGGTCGCTGATAAAAATTGGTTCACAATACCACAGACTAAATCTAATAATTGTATTAGACTTACAATTATTTAATTTACCGTATATACTCGCACGTAAGTATACGCCTACATCGCATATAAGCCGACCCCCTAAAACTGCTTTAAAATGGCTAGTTTTCGCAAAACCCTGTATATAAGCTGACCATCCAATTGTCTAATTTTACTCCATATTTTTTCTTAATTTCATGCCATTTTTGACTTCGAAAATGAATTCTCCATGGTATTNGGGGGAAGTCTGCGCTGGGTTGACACCAACCTAGTGCTACCGGTACCAGAAAGCGGGCTCGGGGGGGAAGTCTGCGCTGGGTTGACACCAACCTAGTGCTACCGGTACCAGAAAGCGGGCTCGGGGGAAGTCTGCGCTGGGTTGACACCAACCTAGTGCTACCGGTACCAGAAAGCGGGCTCGGGGGGAAGTCTGCGCTGGGTTGACACCAACCTAGTGCTACCGGTACCAGAAAGCGGGCTCGGGGGAAGTCTGCGCTGGGATGACACCAACCTAGTGATGCCACTGCCCTCATATGCTGGTCTATTCAGTTTTAAAAAAAATAATTTCAGTGTACCGATAAAGTATCATTGACTGTACCTCTACTTCTTCTACTTCTGTGTTGGGTTTGTTCATACACCAGTTTGAGGCTTTGGGCAGAAGCTGAGAGTTTGCTTCATGTACCTGGTACTGGTATATGCCAAGGAGTTGAATGTTGCATACCTGTATGTTTATCTGAATAATACTATTACCCGGTACGTTACTATTATTGTTGTGAATGTGAGCCTTGGATAATGTACAGGGAAAGGGGGGGGGGGTGTCATTTTCAGAGTTAACCCTGGGTGGTTTGAGTCAAGGTATGCCACTGCCATCCCTGATGGATTTAGAGTGGTGTTCACGGAACAGTGATCATACCAAGATAAAAGCAGATTATCTTTTGAAGAAAATGAAAGAGTTGGAATTTGTGTGTTTATGCTACCGATACTTCATTTGAATCAGGTCAACAAAATAATTAAAATGCACTATTATTGAGTACTTTCGCAACATTGTAGGTACAGTTCATTTGCGACTTTTAAAACAAAATTAGAGAAGATTGTGATGAACTTGAACAATACGGTACCGGTAGTTCAAATGCTACGGAAATTACAAGAAAATGAGAGAAGCGCAACCGATGCATATAATGAAATGTCGCAAAAAGATAAATTCTGGACAAAATTCTTTATTCCTAAGTCAGGCTCTGGTAATGGGTACTGATGAATCTATCTAATCTAATAAGAAATACTTTTTACAGTGTTGTCATTGCAAAAATCTTCATTCTTTCTTATTTCTCTGACATGACAGCATCAGCAAGGAATTCAGCGAGGTGTTCCACTGTTGAAGGTAAAGTACGCCGGTACATCTTCATTATGAAATTTTGGACTTTTTAATGTGCATGTTAAAAGAAACCATGGGCCCATTCTGCACATGCAGACCATTATATTAGGAAACAATCCGGCCTTATAAGTTTTGGTGCCCCCCCCCCTCCCGTAAGTGCCGCCAGGGGTGGTTTAAGATTTTTGCTGCCCCTTACTTACACGAAAATAACTCTGCAGTTGGGGGAATTTGCCACGCCTCCAAATGATGAAAATAGGGTTTCCTTCGGGGGGGGGGGGGGGCTTCCATTCCGCCCCCTCCCCTTTTCCTACGCCACTTGCCACAACCTCTTAGTAACACATTTTTAGGTGGGTATTAACTGTATGTTAAAGAAGGGGCTGATGGAGAAGACTGAAGAACATAGCCCTAAAATAGCAGTCTCATTCTGAAAACTAGGTATAAACCATTCACATAATTAAATCAAATGCAGCATCTAAAGACCATTAAAAATGCATCTGTTCGACAGAATTTAAAATGGCTCAGTGAAAAGTAGGAACCGTGACTCTAGCCAAGAAATAAAACTCGAGACTTTCAGCTTGCTGTTACCGGTACCTAAACAATTTTTTAATTTAAAAAAATAAATATTGGTTTCATATCTAGCAGGTACCATTAATGGTATACTATCTTTCAAGCAATTTTTCAGTCTTTTTTGGTAACAAAAGCCATGATGACATCTCCATTATCTAGTCGACGGACGTCAGCATTTTTATTAAACGGGATATTTTTTTTTTTTTTGTGGGGGGGGGGGGGGGGGGAAGTGGCCTCAATATTCGAATAACCTGAGGCCTATTGTTAGTTTTTAAATCCAGACCTCATTCCAGGTAATTAAATGTATTTTTTAAAAGAATAATTGATTGAGATATAATTCAAATTAATATATATACAAAAATATATATGATATATTATTATACCCGGGACAAATATAGGCCTTTACCGGGTAATCAATAACTGTGTGTGTGTGCAAGCATAAAAGGGATTTAACTATTTTTTAAAGGGGTTTTGGGGGAAGGGGTCAACTGATGGCTTGGGGCCTAAAAATTTAAAATAGCCTATCGCCTCTAGTTGGCCAAATTAGGCTCTGATTCTGATTGTAACTGTCACTAATCATTAATGGCAATCCATCCGATGAAATTGTATGTTGCTGTTACTAAGCGTAGTTTCCTTGTCATTTAAAACTACTCAACACATTATAGGCCTACATATTGACAACCCACAGAGTAGACCCATCAGTTTCTAGCCATCTTGAAAGTATTTATTTATTCAGTTGAAAATCTCCATACCCAGATACAAATGTCATTCTTTACAAGAAAAAGAATTTTGAATTGGAAAAGTTCAAACTAAAAGCCATTACACCTTGCAAATTAATTATATGTTTCAAATATTTAAAAAAAAAGGATTGGCAGCAACGTTGTTTTTAACTTTAACGATAGTCAAGTGGCCACTAGATGACTTATCTTTATATAATAATTTTAAAAAAAACCCTGTAGCCCCATTCTTTCGTGATCGCCATTCCCTTGTAATATGCGCTACACTTAAGGATTGGGGCCGCATTCATTAAGCGAACTGCATTTGTTGTATTTTGCCAAGGTTGCAAAGAGTTCTCAACCCATGTTCAGGAATTACACTGATCAAAGTCACGCCCAGTAAAAATGATTTAAGAAATGGATATTTATTTTACAGTTTAAAGCAGTTGATTTTTCTTGTAAAAAAATATTTATTTTTTTTAAATCTAAAAAAAAGTTTAAATAAGCCTGGAAAAGGTTAAACTAAAAATAGAAAAAGGGCAAAATATGAGGAATTTGGCCTTTAAAAGGCAAATCTGGCAAGCCTGTTGGCAACACTTGATCCAAACTTCGAGGAAAACAAAGATTTATTACCGGTATTATTATTGGCTGCGACCGCACCCGCGTATCAGAAGTAAGAGGTTGGGATTAAAAAACTATTTAAAATATTATTGTTGGGTTTGTAAGACAAAATGAGGTAACAATTAAAAGTTAATTGAATGGATGTTTGTAAACTTAATTCTTCAGTTTAACTGAAATAAACTACCACAAATGACATACGAATGGCTAGTAAAGGGACCCGGATAATCGGATACGCATAGCCGCTATTCGGAATTTTTAGAATCACTGGGCTAGATGAGTTGGGAAGGGGAGGGGGGAGGTCAACATAACCTGACGCCAACAACTCGTCTTAAAAAAATATATGGTAATTATTAAAAGATGAAATCATTAACTACCGGTACCATAATTTGTTGGCTACTATTAAAAAAAAAAAAATAATCATATACTATTCGAAGTTGTCGAAGATGAATAGAAATTACAACCAGCACCTTAATAATCAAGAAAAAAATAAAATGTTCGCTCAGTTCGAGTAGCTGCCAAAAGAAAGAGGAAAGTATGGCAATTATCATGAATAAACATCAGCCAAAGAGTGCACGGGGTATTAACGACAAGAAATCTTAACTTAGAAAGGAGAGAGAGAGAGAGAGAGAGAGAGAAAATGTCGATATTTTAAGAAATTGAGCGAAACAAAGTATTGGAAAACCTGGAAATAAAAAAAAGGAGGGGTAGGGGAAGTAGGGGGGGGGGGAATCAGTCGGGATAGTAGCGTGGTTACAGTCTCTTCCCCTTTCAATTTTTTTTCTTCTCGTATGATATTTTAAGCACTGAGTCACTGAGTAGTCAGGTTAGATGAGGATGATTTCAACCGGTTCCATAATAATATAGACATTATTTTAAAAAAAAAATCATTTGATACCATATATGCGCTATTGACGCTATTGCCAATTGCAAAAGTGGAGCATTTCGCGTAGCAACGTAAAAATGAAAGATAAGAAACAACCTTGAATTTAGTATTAATGATATATATATACCTAACTAATTCATTAATAAGTTCTGAAATATAAAGTTGACTCTAATTATGGAATCGAATTGTTACAAATTAATTTTTTTTTGTAAAGAAGTTTTTTTTAAAAAATGTAATAGTAATAGACTTGTTGTTCCCTGCCGTTGAAGCCTTTTTTCTATATTTAATTTTAATCATTTAAATCAGGCCTGCACAACATACGGCCCGGGGCCGCATGGGGCCCGCCAGCACCCACTTTGCGACCCGCGAATTAATGAAATATTCTTTATTCTTATTATTTTCTTAATAGATTTCCCCTTTATCTATTTTCTTTTGGCCCGCACAAGTCCTTTCCTATTTTCTTTTGGCCCGACAAGTTTTTCATAATGTATTACCACCCGCCTTACATTTTGTTTTGTGCAGGCCTGATTTAAAAGATCCGTATTTATTTATATTTTCTTTGGGGGGGGGGGTAAACAATTGTTGACATATTAATTAATGGGGTCTTTGAAAGTTTGACAGTTGTTGACAAGGGTATGGAGGAGGGTAAAAAATTGCTTACTAAAACTGTTGACATAATTATTCTAAATCTAATGAATTAAAAAAAAAAAGGATTTATGATTCGTAAGAAATGATTTTAGGTTTGTAGTTTAAAAGAAATTGATTTTCATAAATATTAAAAACGAAACAAGTATAATCAATACTTTTAGTAAAAACCTATTATGACATTATCATAAAGAAAAGAATAAATAAATTTGGACTATAATTTCTGGGGCTCATATCTAAAGTAGACAAAATGTGATTTGGACCTACCTACTTCCTGTTATTGTTGTCGCATATAATATTTATTTAGGCTGCTGAATGTAAAACAAAGGCAAAGGTCTCTTACAATAAACGTAATTTCCTTATTTGTTTTAGTTACATTGCGCGTTTTTTAATTTATTTTATTGATTAATTAACTCATTAGTCTACATATTTTACTCACCACACATTCATTTTTTGACGTAACAGTTGTGAGTTGACAAATATGACAACTAATCACTCTGAGAGTCTGTGACTTGAGTCTGTGACTTCTCTGACAATCATTCATTGTCTTTGTGAATCATTGTGATTATGACAGTGAGTTGACTTTTAAAAATAGTGTTTAGTTATTTTAATTTACAGTTACACTATGAGCTACTTACTGAACATACACTAACTTACAGCACAATCAGTCAGTCAAGTAAACTCAAATTCAAAATAGTCACTACTAATAGTGCTAATAGTGTCATATACTAGGTACTTTAATACAAATTAAAAAAAAAATTGAAATAATTTTTTTAATAACACAGTTAGTTAGAGCAAGTTTCAAATTAAAAAAAATGAAACCAGAATCAACTTTTTAGCTGAAGTTCTTATTGAGCTAAGAATTTTTAAATTTTAAGTGTGAGTTCGTTTGGTATTTTTTACTATGGACGAAACCTCCACATCTTGTGACCTCATTCCGCTGATGGCGTCATGCGCAATGACTATATACTTTATATAAGGCAACGCATCGCCTTATCACTAAAATACTGTTTAGGGTCGACTTAGTTTAAACTTTCAACTTTGGCACATGAATAATTAATTAAAACTTTCCCTGAAATTGAACCAATGGTATAATAGTTTTTGCACACGGCAAACTCTTATGAATGAAACTCTGTGGCAGTACTTTGATACACCCATTATGCAAATGGCTGTGAATGGTTGCCAATGACAACGTGTTGCACACCGTAAATTCTGATCATTTATAATATGGACTCTATCGGGTTGTTAAAGCTCAAATCAAAACATTCCAGTTTAAATGTCTTCAAAATGCATTCTGAAACACAAGTTATCAAATATTTTGATGTAAATAGTGGTAATAAATTAATATTTCCTAAGTATCTGCAACTTCCGCCATTAAAAAGAGGGCGTGGCCCACCCCATGGCAAAATTAGGTTGAGCAAACTGCATGACCTGCTGTGAACGCGTAGAAACATGGCGTCTCTTGTAAATAATATATCGCTGTGAAAATTGGCATACATGTAGATCAATACATTCCCCAGATGCAAAAAAAATTTCACACACATCGGAAAAATAAAAACTCAGATTTTTCGGCGCCAATTGCCACTTCCGTTACACAAAAAGTTCTAGTCTCCCTTGATTTACCGATGTATCTACATATACATATAGTATCACTAAACTAAGTGCCTAAGACTTAATATAAAATACTATTACTATTAAATACAGTGGCCCTGATCTTGGAAGATACCTTCAACTTGACTTCATTGAAAGTTTCAATTTTTAAGCTCATTCTCTGTTTCTCAATTTATGGGCTCAAATGCCATTCTTATTTAGGGAATTTGTGTTAAAATTTTGTTCTTAGTAATAACAGTGTATAAAATTGATACACAAGTCGCAAAATTAACACATATCCAATGTCACCATGTAAACCTGAATGCAGAACTTCAAATTTCCTATCAGCCACACTAAGCCTAAGCAGCATGTAAATTTGTTTTCAATAGGTTCATGATCATGTCATAAAATAATAGGTAATCTAACACATCAGCATCAGGTATTAAGAAATCTCTTTGTTCCTATTTGAAGTATTGTTTAAACGGCTATACTTTTATTGATGTCCGTTAATAGTAAAGTGGAGAGAGGGTGACTGGGTATTTAGTGGAATAGAAAGAGAGAGCGGGAACTGTTTTCCTGTTGAAGTGCAAGACCGACATTCAATCACGTTACAGGAGTGCCATAGAGAGATATATCCCTTCAGGCTCACTTATTTGTATCGAACAGAGCTTATATTAACATAAATCAGATCAGACTCAGAATCTACCAACACTCTGTTGTGGTCCATCTACAAAATTTTGTTGATCCAAATGAAACTGGTGTCCACAGACAGAATTTTGAAAATATGTGGATGCCTGCAAAGCGCAAACCGAAAAGACAGTTTGGCACAAAGTGTGATCTTGTCCCTTCATATTATTGGTGCGCAATTGTTTTTGTGGAGATGATATAAACTCAAACTCTCTTTTCTTTTCATATATTTAATTTTAACAAAAATTTCTTTCTATTTTAAAAAATATTAAATTGTTTTAATTTTGCTATTGATTTTTTTTTAAAATATATGTGCTGAAATGAATATGCACAATGTCATAAAAACATTTACCGGTACATTTAATTGGATCAATGAAAGAATTTTCTCTTAACAATAAAAGGATAACCGCTTCATAGCGCTTCATACTGGAACAACATGATTTTTTTAATACAGATGCTCAAAATTAGATATAAGTACCGGTATTTTGTGCTTTACCATTTTCTGATAATATAGACATAGTTCAGGAGTGAGGGAAAAAGGTTGGGTAAAATTTTAATGAAGATACCAATATATCAAAATCTGTTAATGTTACAAATATTTAAACTGGTAAATTCTTTTTTTTAATTATTATTTTTAATGAATTATATTTTAAAAATTTTTTAGTTTTAGTTCAGGGGCATGACAAAATGATTGGGTAAACTAAAAACCCAATGATGCTAGAAATGTAAACATAAATTCTGTACTTATTTAAAAAGTAATGAAATTTAGATTTACTATTTCCTAAATAACAATTTTTAAGGCTGCGTTCATAAATTTTTTGAGGATAAAATACCCTCGAGGTCCACAAAATTAATCTTCGCAGGCTTCACACCTGATATTACCTCCTTGCAAGGCCTACCAGGAAGAAGTGGACATAAAAAGTTAATGGAAGCTTTAAAAACTAGAGGATATTTATGTTTGATAGATTAAAGGATTAGGCAGTTCCGGCTCATAAAAACAAGAACTCAGTACAGGAGCTCCTCATTCCTGTCAAAGACAATAAGGGACTGGAACAAGCTTCCATTAGCAACAGTTGAGGCGACTACACTTGACACATTTGCGTCTATTTCCTCCTTTCTTCCAACCCCCAGTTCATAATACCATTGCTGAGTAGCCCTTGCAACCAGTGAAGTATCCCCATCAAAACCATGCACAGTTACATTGCAAACCCCCCTGAAACATAGGGCAGGAGCCAGAATGATCAATACATTGATCATGGCCCTCAAAATAGAGAAGGAGGAAATTCTTTTGTGAACATTTGGATCTATTTTGATGGAAATTCCATGTTGTGTGATAAATCCATTTTTAGATACTGAGGCAGGTTGGGGGTAGCTAGGCATTTCCTTCAAAAAGTTAGTTCGTATAGCATTAATTAATTAATTTAATTATAGTATCACTGCTTTGCCAGGCTTTTCTTGTGCCCTGTTATTTTAAGTTGCTGTAACATATTCTGTTGATTATTTACATAAATTTGTAAACATAAAAATAAAGATAACTACAAATGAATTATAGACATCTAAATGTTCTATTTATTAACAATAAAGTTTAAAAAGTATTCATTATAAGGTAAATACAGTCTACTTAACTAATAATACATACCTGTACTCTGTAACATATCCATGGTAGATGTTACATCTGATCATATGACAAGGTAAAAAAAGACTTTAAGTTACAGTTGGTAGTTATCTCATAGGGCTTAGGGGCACTCTTGAGCATTCACACTTTACACAAAATACGTTAGTTAGAAGAAATGTATTCTTTTCAGAAAAATATTAAAGTTATGTAATCTGTAGCTGGAAACCTAAAATGCCTAGTCAATTTTAAAATCAATTTAATTTGTTCTAACATTTTATTTTTTACATTTCAGGATCATCTTGGTTAGTTACATAATATAAAATGTAAATCAGAAATTAAAACATTTGTTTACTATTATTCTTGAGTATTCATTGTCATCATGTCTGCCTTACATAATGGACTGATATCAGAGGATATGGTTAAAAATGTTTTCGATGCTTTGAAAGAGAACACAATTTTGAGCCGTCAGGGTAAGATGGAAAAGTTTTCCAATAAAAAAGAACAGGATTCAGACCACCTGTCAACAGCTGTGAATGATGCCAATCATTTAGACCCCAACAGAGAAAGATGTGACACTCTACCAAACCTTATACTGCCCCCCAAAAAAGATTTACGCTACTCAGATGATGGACCAGTTGTTAATGAGCATGATCTCCCCAAAGAGAGTTCACACTCCGGACACACTCTGGAAGGGGGCTCAAAAGGAGAAATCATTGACATAAACAGTACATTTGGTGGTGAGAATAGGGTAGAGTCTAGTCCTTCTGGACATGGTTTGGGGGAAAACGTTGCAGTTACTCCTGAGTTTACCAATGCACAAAGACCAGAAAGTCTTTCACTACCTAAGCCTATTCAAACCATTGAGCAGGAACAAAATAAATTACATTCTATAAATAAAAACCACACGGGTGATAATTTTCTGGATGGGAATAACCTGCCACAGAATGTGAGTCAGCCTATTGACATACCGGAAGAAGGAGCTCATTTCATAGATGAGAGCAACAGTTTGTCCAGCAGTTTGCCACATGGTACCATCATGCGAAAAGGGGACATGATTCAGTTTGTAGCCGATGATCTACAGGAGAAAATCAAGCAGAGTAGCCCATTGTCATTTGTTGGTATGTATGAAGTATAATTGTATAATTGATAGTAAGCCATTCTGAGAGACTTGAAATTTATTTAACTTTCAGTACAGACATTTAATAGGTCAGTTTAGACGAACTATAGAAGATATTTATTTAATTAACTTTATAATTATTTCTTTTATTCATTTAGCGCTCCATAATTATAATATATATTCCAATTTTTTTATGTACCCCGTTGCATTATTAGCTATATTTTAAAGTTCACATCATTTCATTCAAAAATCTTTTACATACTGGTAGGCAGATGAAACAAAACATAACGTTGAATAGAATAGGATGAGACTTCAAATGACTTTAAAATCATGTGCTTCTTGCTGAACAAAAGCAACATTAGCACAGACTTAAGTTGCTAAGCTTACCTGAAATTATCCGCACAGTAATTTTAAAGTTAAATGTATGAATTTATGTATCAGGTAATTGTTTATTAGCTTAGTCGTCTAAAGTTTGGATTAGGAAATAAGAAACAAAGACATAGCACTGCATAGGGAACTTTTCAGTGTATGTCTTTAGACAGTTCATATAATAGGCAGTTCTCATATTGACAACCTCAACTTTTTCTGTAATTAAGTGATAAATAGCTGATAGAATTATTTTTGTTTTTGATACCGGTAATTACATTTTGTTCTTAATGTACCAGTATTAGACTTTTGTTAATCTATATAGGCCTACTTTACACATGTAAATAGGATTTTTGTTGCTTAAAATCATAAAAAAGTTCAGATGACTTGTCTTCTAATATAGTAAATTCCTCCATATAAGCAGTTTGTATGTAGCAATGCTTTGGAATATTAGATAAGAAGTCTATTTAGTTTTCTGCAAAGAGTAATTATGTCTACCCTATAAACACTTGAAATGTGCCCCTTACCCCACTTCTTAATAATGTGAACGTTAATCTTAAGATGTCTTGGGACAATCAGCAGTTACATAAATTTGACAATCTGTTGATTTATTTATAGACATTTTGATTCATTGTGATTATTACAAATTACTAAGCTTTACATTTCTGTGGATAACATTTTGTTTAGAGAATATTACAGCAGAATCTTAATTATTATTTAATGTCTTCATAAAATAAATATTTAAATATAAATATTTCAAAAACAAGTGTTTTATTAAAATATATTTTTAAAAATGTTACCACTATGTTAAAATATTTAAAAACAATTTTTACAGCAAAATATTTCAAAACAATTTTTAAACACAAGTATTTCAAAAACAATGTTCATACACAAGTATTTCAAAAATAATTTTTATACACAAGTATTTCAAAAACAATTTTTATACACTAGTATTTCAAAAACAATTTTTCATGTCGTGTGTTCTAGATTCTTGATCTTTTAATCCTCAAATTTTATTAGGCATTATATTACAAGTGGTGTTTAAGTCTGTTAATTGGCAATTCAGATCTCCCCCCACACACACACTCACACACTTTTTATAATAAACTTCAAAGGTTAAACTTCACGCAGTGACTTTGTACATGTTCAAATTACCCTCTTAATTCAATAATCTTTACATTTTTGCGGACAGTATTATAGATTTTTAAAATCTCCCATCTCTTTAGGTTATATCAAATTATTTCAGATTTTTTTAGGCTAATATCTGATAGGTATGCATAAAAAAACTGAAAGTGTACTGACTGATAACATACCAATTGCTTTTTACACCCGAAATGTATCTAAATATTAGTCAGAATGTTATCAAAATGTATGCAGATTCTCATTATTGAACATTAAATGATTTTTATTCCAATGCTAAGCCTCAGAAGAATATTTTTGATCACACTGGAATGAACTTCTAGTTCTTTGATTTTTTAAGCTAAATGTTATTTTAAAATGGATAAAAAAGAAAAATTTGAGGCTTTTTAAATAAACAAAGGATTTTCCTTTTTTCCCCATATAATGATTAATGGTTTTTAATGCTGTGAAAAGTGCTATGTGGATTTAAAAAGTGTTGGACTGCAATAAAGCTTTAAAATAAATTAATTAGACACGAACAATTTGTGTCAATGAAACAATATAAGTTTAGCTTTATAATAATAGTTTTACATAATCACGAGCATACGTTTCGGCACATGGCTTCTAATTGTGTCTAATTAATCTATGTGAATTTAATACCACTCTTGATAATCGGAAGGATTTTTTAATAACATGAATCAATTAAGACAAATTAAAACAAGTGCTCTGAAGTTTATACGTCCTACAGATAAGTTTGGTAAGGCCCATATAATTATCATTTGCATTATCTTTAAAATATGTTAATTATGTTGAAAAATTTTAGCTCAACTTTGTGACAAAATGTCATGCTAAACTCCTGCCTTGAAATTCTGTGTTTCCAGCAGATACAGTTAGTACAAACAGTCGACGATCCAGTGTGCGAAGCATAGCATCATTTTCCTCCTCTACTTCTTTTGCCACTTCATCTGGAGTGTCAAGGTCGCCCAGTAGCCAGTTTCAACAAAGTCCAGATGACATTCCACCCATTGATGCCACAGCTGTAATAGAGCTTGAGAACCACGCCCGCAGAGTTGCTGATAACCTGGATCTTATGATGGGCAACATTCGTAACAATTTACACAAAGTATGGAATACAATTTTTAAAATATTTAAAATCTTAACGGCAACTTTAACCAAATTTTAAAGGTTATAATAACGCAGGCAAATTTTGTGAGATAATTGTTTCCAAATGAATTCATTAAGACTAAACATCATCAGTTTTAATTTTAGTATTTATTTAACTATGATTATCTCAAATAATGTTTTTGAGCAGAGAAAATAAGTTCAGATTTAAAGGTTCTGTTCTAAATTTAAAAAAAAATTCAATATGATCAACTCACATTGTTCTTCTTATCATTTATGGTTATTTAAAAGCAATCAATAAAACTCCTTAGACAAACTTGTTACAAATGTTACGCCAACGTCTATGTTCAAGCCTTAAAAAAACTAAAATCAATTAGCATTTTTCAGATGTCTGCAATCACAATTGGTTGTCAGGATGCTTACAAACGTTCAGTTGACATCACTTGTGACTCGGTGGACGCCAGTATAAAGGTGAGAATGGTTGCATTTCTCCCACATTAAATGAACCTCATTGAATCTTAAATATTTCTCAAGAGAATTTATTTTTAGTGAATGTAATTTACATTGTAAATAAAATATTTGTTAAATTGGACTTCTGTTTTGATACATTAACGGACTTGTAGATTTCTGTACTGATACATTAATGGACTTGTAGATTTCTGTACTGATACATTAACGGACTTGTAGATATATGTACTGATACATTAACAGACTTGTAGATTTCTGTACTGATACATTAATGGACATGTAGATTTCTGTACTGATACATTAATTGACATGTATATTTCTGTACTGATAAATTAATGGTCATGTAGATTTCTGTATTGATACATTAATGGACTTGTAGATTTCTGTATTGATACATTAATGGACATGTAGATTTCTGTATTGATACATTAATGGACTTGTAGATTTCTGTACTTATACATTAATTGACATGTAGATTTCTGTATTGATGCATTAATGGACATGTAGATTTCTGTATTGATACATTAACGGACTTGTAGATTTCTGTACTTATACATTAATTGACATGTAGATTTCTGTATTGATAAATTAATGGACATGTAGATTTCTGTACTGATACATTAACAGACTTGTAGATTTCTGTACTGATACATTAACGGACTTGTAGATTTCTGTATTGATACATTAATGGACTTGTAGATTTCTGTATTGATACATTAACAGACTTGTAGTATTGTAGATTTCTGTACTGATACATTAACAGACTTGTAGATTTCTGTATTGATACATTAACGGACTTGTAGATTTCTGTACTGATACATTAACGGACTTGTAGATTTCTGTATTGATACATTAATGGACTTGTAGATTTCTGTATTGATACATTAATGGACATGTAGATTTCTGTACTGATACATTAACAGACTTGTAAATTTCTGTACTGATACATTAACAGACTTGTAGATTTCTGTACTGATACATTAATTGACTTGTAGATTTCTGTACTTATACATTAATTGACTTGTAGATTTCTGTATTGATACATTAATGGACATGTAGATTTCTGTACTGATACATTAATTGACTTGTAGATTTCTGTATTGATACATTAATGGACATGTAGATTTCTGTACTTATACATTAATTGACTTGTAAATTTCTGTATTGATACATTAATGGATATGTAAATTTCTGTACTGATACATTAACAGACTTGTAGATTTCTGTACTGATACATTAACAGACTTGTAGATTTCTGTACTTATACATTAATTGACTTGTAGATTTATGTATTGATACATTAATGGACTTGTAGATTTCTGTATTGATACATTAACGGACTTGTAGATTTCTGTACTTATACATTAATTGACATGTAGATTTCTGTACTGATACATTAATGGACTTGTAGATTTCTGTATTGATACAATAATGGACTTGGAGATTTCTGTACTGATACATTAATGGACTTGTAGATTTCTGTATTGATACATTAATTGACTTGTAGATTTCTGTACTTATACATTAATTGACATGTAGATTTCTGTACTGATACATTAATGGACTTGTAGATTTCTGTATTGATAAATTAATGGACTTGTAGATTTCTGTATTGATACATTAACAGACTTGTAGATTTCTGTACTGATACATTAACGGACTTGTAGATTTCTGTACTGATACATTAATGGACTTGTAGATTTCTGTACTGATATATTAATGGACATGTAGATTTCTGTATTGATACATTAATGGACATGTAGATTTCTGTACTGATACATTAATGGACTTGTAGATTTCTGTACTGATACATTAATGGACTTGTAGATTTCTGTATTGATACATTAATGGACATGTAGATTTCTGTATTGATACATTAATGGACATGTAGATTTCTGTACTTATACATTAATTGACTTGTAGATTTCTGTATTGATACATTAATGGATATGTAAATTTCTGTACTGATACATTAACAGACTTGTAGATTTCTGTACTGATACATTAACAGACTTGTAGATTTCTGTACTTATACATTAATTGACTTGTAGATTTATGTATTGATACATTAATGGACTTGTAGATTTCTGTATTGATACATTAACGGACTTGTAGATTTCTGTACTTATACATTAATTGACATGTAGATTTCTGTACTGATACATTAATGGACTTGTAGATTTCTGTATTGATACAATAATGGACTTGGAGATTTCTGTACTGATACATTAATGGACTTGTAGATTTCTGTATTGATACATTAATTGACTTGTAGATTTCTGTACTTATACATTAATTGACATGTAGATTTCTGTACTGATACATTAATGGACTTGTAGATTTCTGTATTGATAAATTAATGGACTTGTAGATTTCTGTATTGATACATTAACAGACTTGTAGATTTCTGTACTGATACATTAACGGACTTGTAGATTTCTGTACTGATACATTAATGGACTTGTAGATTTCTGTATTGATACATTAACGGACTTGTAGATTTCTGTACTGATACATTAATGGACTTGTAGATTTCTGTACTGATACATTAACAGACTTGTAGATTTCTGTACTTATACATAAATTTTGCTCCAGTTTTTTAAACTTCCTTTCTTCTTTCATCTTCCACCAATGTGTCAAAACTCAAATGATCTCTCCCTAGTCCATGTATGCCCTGATGGCCAAGTGCGAGGAATTGAGTGCCTCAATGGGACCTGTAGAACAACTGGCCACACAAATGTATCCTTTCATATCCCTCTTTCATATCCCTCTTTCATATCCCTCTTTCATATCCCTCTTTCATATCCCTCTTTCATATCCCACTTTCATATCCCTCTTTCATATCCCTCTTTCATATCCCTCTTTCATATCCCTCTTTCATATCCCTCTTTCATATCCCTCTTTCATATCCCTCTTTCCATCACAATTTTTTTTTTTACTGCACCTGTATTTCAAATTAAAAATTGCTTATTTCATCAAAGTTGTGGTATACTTTCTCCACTTAAAAAATAATATAACTTTGCATATTTATGATGCTGGCAAAATCTTTCATCGTGGTCTATCTTTTAATGTTGATTTTTTTTGAAATTCCAGATTACTTTTTTGTCTCATAACTTCTTTTCTGTTAATTACTGCATTTTTCCTTGGTACCATGCTTGACATCAGGGGTCTCCCATGCTTTACACCAGGGGTCTCCCATGCTTTACACGAGACGTCTCCAATTGCTTTACACTACTGGTCTCCCCTACTTAACACCAGGGGTCTCCAACCCCGGACGACATGAGGCCCAGGACAGCTGTGAATGAGACCCAACAAACTTTGTGAGATTGCGACAAATAAAAACTATTAACTTTGACAAGTCAAAAGTCTTACTGGGTAAGACAAGGGGATTCTCATGGTGTGCCACACTGTCTTATCTGGTATGCAATGCTTGTTAAAAGCAGTTTAGGACAGGTGACTACTTTTTTGTCAAGGCAAAGTAACTAAACTAAGGCAGTCTGCTCAATTGTCGAGGCAAAGTAACTAAACTAAGCCAGTCTTCTCAATTATCAAGGCAAAGTAACTAAACTAAGCCAGTCTTCTCAATTATCAAGGCAAAGTAACTAAACTAAGGCAGTCTGTTCAATTGTCGAGGCAAAGTAACTAAACTAAGCCAGTCTTCTCAATTATCAAGACAAAGTAACTAAACTAAGGCTTTCTGCTCAATTGTTGAGGCAAAGTAACTAAACTAAGGCCGTCTGCTCAACTGGTAATACTTATAACAGGCATTGCTCATGAATCAAATATCCCAGATGACATGGCCTCTTGATTCTCATTAAGACACAATTAAATCAAGAGGTTTATACAGAGCCGTGAAAAATACGTTCTCGATTTTCTTTGTCAATTGTGAACATAACTGGTAGAGCTGCTGACGGCGCCCGGCATACATGGAGCATTGCTTCAGACAGCTAATGTATTTTAATGATTCTTTTCTTAACATGGAACAATTTAAATGACTTTCCTTAACATGGAACAATTTAAATGACTTTCCTTAACATGGAACACTTTAAATGACTTTCCTTAACATGGAACAATTTAAATGACTTTCCTTAACATGGAACAATTTAAATGACTTTCCTTAACATGGAACACTTTAAATGACTTTCCTTAACATGGAACAATTTAAATGACTTTCCTTAACATGGAACAATTTAAATGACTTTCCTTAACATGGAACACTTTAAATGACTTTCCTTAACATGGAACAATTTAAATGACTTTCCTTAACATGGAACAATTTAAATGACTTTCCTTAACATGGAACAATTTAAATGACTTTCCTTAACATGGAACAATTTAAATGACTTTCCTTAACATGGAACAATTTAAATGACTTTCCTTAACATGGAACAATTTAAATGACTTTCCTTAACATGGAACAATTTAAATGACTTTCCTTAACATGGAACAATTTAAATGACTTTCCTTAACATGGAACACTTTAAATGACTTTCCTTAACATGGAACACTTTAAATGACTTTCCTTAACATGGAACACTTTAAATGACTTTCCTTAACATGGAACACTTTAAATGACTCTCCTTAACATGGAACACTTTAAATGACTTTCCTTAACATGGAACACTTTAAATGACTTTCCTTAACATGGAACAATTTAAATGACTTTCCTTAACATGGAACACTTTAAATGACTTTCCTTAACATGGAACACTTTAAATGACTTTCCTTAACATGGAACACTTTAAATGACTTTCCTTAACATGGAACACTTTAAATGACTTTCCTTAACATGGAACACTTTAAATGACTTTCCTTAACATGGAACACTTTAAATGACTTTCCTTAACATGGAACACTTTAAATGACTTTCCTTAACATGGAACACTTTAAATGACTTTCCTTAACATGGAACACTTTAAATGACTTTCCTTAACATGGAACACTTTAAATGACTTTCCTTAACATGGAACACTTTAAATGACTTTCCTTAACATGGAACACTTTAAATGACTTTCCTTAACATGGCCACCAGCAAGGAAATCAAGCGTATCCTGGACTTATTTGAGTCACAGCTGATCGACAAGTAGAGTGTCGCCCTCAAGGGCATTCCATCAATATCAAGCCAGGGAGAGGAAGATGATCAAAATCACAAGGATTTGTGTTGTAGACAAAATGTAACAGTTGTTATCTTTTTTTGTGTTTTCAGAAGAAATAGCTTAATGTGTAAACATGTACATGTCATCAGTGAGACATTTGTTTAAACATGTACATGTCATCAGTGAGACATTTTAAATGTCCTTATTTAGCTCCCTTTAAGAAGTGACATTGCTGATTTGAATAAATCGTGGTCACTAAGTAAGAATGAGTAATGTTTAAGAATTAGTTTTAGCATTATCTAGTGTATAGAAATAGAATATTAAATTCAACATGTCCGTGATGCACAGATTGCAATGACCAGCCATGCAGCCAGAGAGGAAATTGATCCCGGGTACATTTTAAAAAAGAAAAAGCACTTCTTGATTATTTCAATGTTTCATATTTTCTCCATTCACTTAAATAATGACACAGGTAGATGCAAGATGCCATTAGGGTTCAGCCGATATGCCTACAATGGAAGAAGTATAATCGGTGTTCTGCGGAAATAGTTTTATATCCAACATCGTATCTCACCGTGTCATTAAGTATTGCTGTCGTTTCAGAACTAATTTGTCGTGTTTTAAAATATTTGACATTAGACTTCTAGAAATACTGCACTGCTTACCTGGTGGTCCACTACAGAAAATTTGTGATTGTGCTTTTTAAAATTCTGTGAATTTTTTTTATAAAATGACAAAACAAAAAGTGAATAAAATCCTATTATTGTTCAACGATACCATGTAAAATATGTTGTGTGAAAAAATTCACCCTCTTCAAAATATCATTTTGTAATCATTTGTTTTTATCATCTCTAACTTATCTCCTCTGCTTTATTCATGCTTGGTCTGGTTGTGATGGCTCTAGAAATATTCACGATAAGAAATATCACTTCTTTTGGCAAATGTTGCAGAGTGTAAAATAATAAGTCCTTCAAGACCAACGGTTTATAACAGGTGATACATTGTTGTTCCAAACATCATGCCTGCTTATTTGTACCAGTACTGAGAAGACTTTATACATTTAATGTGTTAGAAGTTGTAAGCATATAGTTTATAAAGTGCTGCACTTTGCCTGCACTTTTCAACAGGCTATTTTTATAAAAGACAAAATTTTTGCTTGATAATTATCCTCAATGTGGTCTAGGATAGTGCTTCTCAAACTTTTATGAGTTTGCCACTGCACAAGCCAATTTTTACAGCCAATTTGATAGGGCTCTGTAACTACTCTCTAACCGCTGAGAAAATTCTGTAACTACTCTCTAATAATTTAATGCTATCCGTTTGGCCCAAAATTATTGAGCAAATTTTTTGTTTTTTTATTGATCTCCAGTCGGGTTAGGAATGGTGTAAAAGGATATTCAAAATGGCGTGCTCTATGGTTGTTAATTTTAATGTTGTTAGTTGAACTCCATAGTGTTGATCAAACATTTCATAAAAAGTTTTCATTTTAATTGCATGAAATTTCAGAAAATTTTCAAAAAATATATAATTTGTACCTGACTCTAATTTTTTCAAATTAATCCAACCCTGGATAGAGTTCAAGTTCAAGGTTAAGTAAGCATATTTTTTCAAGGGAGATAATTGAAAATAACACAAATGAAATTTCTTTAATGCAAACTAGACTGACACTTTGACTGACACAGAGGCTGACACCGGAAAGGTTCAAATACAATCAAACCAGTACAAAATGATGAATTAAAAACCCTATGACAGAAATAAAACTAATAAGTCTTTATTGGAAAAGACATTGAGAAAATTAATCGATTTTGATTTCATTTGTTTAAAAGAACATCTGCTGAGAACTTATGGACTATCAAAGTGATTTTTAAAAAAAATGTTTGCTTTAAATTAAAAAGCTTCAATATCAGTTGTTGTTTTTTTCTCCAAATATCCATTTATTTATATAATTTGTTTTAATGGGAATGTCAAACACATCTTGTAGAAAATCATTAGAAAGTCTGGTTGTGTTGTTCTGTGCAAAAACCAATCCCATTTTTTGAAAGAGAGACTTGAAGATGAGACAAAGGGAGGAAACATTGAGCCTATTTTGTTGGCTCATGTGCTGGGGACCAGTACCAGGTGACGTAAAACTTGCGGACTTGCAACAAAAAGCTCGTGGACTGGCAAAATAAAGCTCGTGGGCTGGCAACATAAAGCTTGTGGACTATTGCTGGTCAGTGAACCATTACCCTGTGAAACGCTGGTCTGGATGACGTATTGAAAAAAAACCACTCTGTATTTCTTTTAAACATTTTTCAGTTTCAGCCCTGACTGCACCCACCTAACCTGTTGGCCATTCTTGAAGTTGAATAACATTGCATACAAAATTAAAACATTTTCAGGGGTAAATAGCTGATGTCAAAAAGACCAATATGGTTGACTTCAGGTTTATACATTTCTGGTAAACAGGTGTCACAAAACAGATGTCACCAAAATGTTTCCATACCAAATTGAAAACTGTGTACCGGTAACTGTAAGTGGATATAATGGTGGTGTGGTGTATTCCCTAATTGAGTGTGGGGGCTGCCCCGTTTGGATGAAAACAAGGGTAATTGTTTCAGTTCTCAAATCATTTGAAAATGTTTGCCTTTTGTCATGAATCAGATAATGAAGGGAGAAGATGGGCAGTGCAGATCGAGCATTTTAAAAAATTCTTATTCAATGTGAGATA